GTTGTCCCCATCCATGTAGTTTTAAAATTAACCGCTTGGGATGCCACGGTCTGATATCCTCCCCAATAGCTAAAGGGACCTCTTTCTTGTTGTCCAAAAAATGTTTTGTAACATCTAGCAGTGATATTGCCACGCGCGTTGCCCAGCGAGCGCGTGGCCGAATGGTTACCGCGCTTCACTTTCGCACGGAGGCTCCGGGTTCGATACCAGGAAGCGGTATCGATCTTTCGACTTGACATTCTCGCAAGTTCGAGAACCTCGTCGTTTGATCGAGTTACGAATGTTCTACGGGCCGAAATTTCTTCGCGAAATGTTCCAAAAACCCATGCGGGTACAAAAGGTGCTTCGATTGGCGGTCCGGAGTCAGTCCCTCCCCAGCACTCGATCCTGCTTTTTCGCCGACATCGACGCTAGCCTTTCTCTATTTTGTTTTTGGCAAAAGTTCGCCCCATTAAACGTTTAGTCTCTTCAGTTACTCGCCGCCCCGTCATTTGTGACAATATCCCGCTCCTTATAGTTGGACTGCATAAAATAGCCCTAGGATACTTTTTTTTTCTTTTACCGTTTTGTGTTGTTACGTGCTAATAAACCATTCTGGTAAGCCAGATTTGCGCAGCTGTATAATTGCCGTTGTCACTGACGTCGATACAAATTAGGCAATGCGGAAGTATCTTTAGCAGTAATTCAATTACATTTCTAAGTATTTGTACCCTAGTCAAGATACATTACAGTGAAAATAACTTGAGTAGTATTTTAAATACTTAATGAAGCAGGTATTTAGTAACTTAACTCAAATACGTTTATCGAGTATTTTGTCCAACCCTGGTTTACATGGCGGAGGAGCAGGCGAGCGACACCCAAATTAACCCTGAACCCCACGCAGTAGTTGCGAAACGAGAGTCTCCTCGCCCACTAAGACGGTCCGGGAGCTCATGTGACCCACCCAGCTAAGATATTACCAGCGCTCACCGCGACCCATCATGGCCATGGTCCTGAGACTCACGTCATCAGGCAGACTAATGCAATCACCAGACTCGTATCTACCCTAAGACTCACGTCTTGATTCAGGCTCATGCTCATTTGTATTTGTATTTATTTGCCATTTTGTTTTGGGGTGGCAGGGACAAAAGGTGTATTAAGACACCTGACTCAGGTCCCTTACCCCATACAGGTTTCAGAGCGGCGCAGCTCTTACAACGAACAAAATCATGAGCCTTGAAACTCAGAATCACACTCAAGAGATCTCAAAACTCACGCTCATAAGTACTTCACTTAGAGCTCAAGGTCACACTCACCTGATGAGTCCTCAGAACTCACGCTCAGACTCTCGCTCATCAGTTTTCAGAACTCACACTAAAACTCATGGGCTCTCAGGACTGAAATTGACACTCAAGGGTTTTCAGAACTCACGATCACACTCACGATCGGACTCACACTCACACAGTCACACTCACACTCATGAGTTCTCAGAACTCACGATCACACTCACGATCAGACTCACGCTCATGAGTTCTCAGGACTCACACTCATGAATTCACATAACTCACGATCACGCTCACATTTTTTTCGAGACTCGCGGCCTCACTCACGATCACCTCAAAACTGACGGTGAGCGTGAGTGATCGTGAGTGATCGTGAGTGATCGCACTCATGAGGGAAAATGCCGAGGTATGGTTGCCACTCGACCAAAGTGAAAACCGATGTGCCAGGAGCGTCATCCGACAACAAGGAGCACAGGTACGACTGAACGCCTGACACGAGACTCGCAGAAGGAACTCGTTATGGAACCATTTGCAAAGAATCAATAATTATGTAATCAAGGGGAAATAAACATATTTGATACACTAACCAAATAAACATATTTCCGCATGCCTTTACGCCTTCAGGGTATATACACCAAGAATTGTGTTCACTGCATGCTCTGGACCTTTAGAGGACGCTCGCATCTCTGACCCTTCAATATTAATTATAACACATACCAGACCGGCAGACTTGTTGAATGGGGCTGCACTCGTTCCACCTCTTCTGAACATGTGGTGCATCCGAAAACGAACTCCAGTGATGTGAAAATGTTATTTATTGATTTATTCCCTCCGGGGTTCTTTGTAGGCATTGCAGAGAGAATACTTAAAACTACACACATTATAATAACATCAAAGCACACTGGCATTATTGAGCACAAAACGAGCCGAGCTAGCCAAAGTAAGTACATACTACACTCGTAAGAAATACTTATTGCTGTAACTTGTTTAGTGCAAAAACAAACACACCTCTGAGCATCTAGTTTAATAGTATGTGTTGGTGCATTGTTATATAGGAAGCCACTTCCTATACGTATGACAAAATAGACCCTTTGCAAAACCCCATCAAGCAACCAGAACTGTCACATTTTTTTCGGCGCAAAGCACACCAAATGGGTTCCAGTTCACGTCGAACGCTAATGCAGCATTCAAGTCTTATAGGCGCTGAGCCGAGTTCACGGTGATGACTGACATAACATTCTTGTCGAACAAATGCCCAAAGTATGAAGGCCTTGGGTGATTAGAGTAGTAGTTACAGTAATTCGTTTCATCCCAATTTGGCAAGCGGCGGAGGCTACAGTCTCGGTGAGTCAATATGCACGTTGGAGAGAGGCACTTGACAACATATCATCAGAACGCTCGTCTGCAGAGATTTGTCACACACCTTCACTCCTTCTCTCTGATCGGCTCAAGGGGGCTGTGGCGGTTGCCCTTTTCCAGGTTACGGTGATACGAAGTATAGGCAGCCCATACTTGACTGCTCTTCGGGCAAGGGATAAACACAAATATGAATCATCTTTTCCAGGTAATTAGAACACGTAAATAGTTGACCGACTAATACAATGCACTCTTGATGAAAAGAAAAGTATAGCTGCAATAAATCCTACGAAATAGAAAAATGTGCAGTTAATCTTTTATTTCCGAGTTGCATTACATTTAACGAATTGCTGATACGTGTGGTTCTATCTCTGGACCTCGAAAGAGTGGGGCTGCTTTTTTTTTTTTTTTTTTTTAAGATTCTAGATGTTAGAATGATTAATTAGGGAACCATCTAAGAAAATATGATCATACGCAAGGAGGTTACTGTGGAGTATTGATACCGATCGGCAAGGTAAAGAGTCTACTAATACTAATTTCTAAAGGACATCGAATGCAACATTTTGTGCACTGATCAATCAAGAATGTGAAGACTTGCTGTGTTCTGAGTTCCAAGGGGACAAATAAACTGTTTTAGGAACATAAGTAATGAGTTCGCGTGCACGCCAATTAAGCAAACGCCAGCTTCTCACTTCAGAAAAGTGTTGCGATCGAATGTAGAATCGTCGATTAGCACAAAATCTTAAAGATCGCAGGAGCTTCCTCGCTAAAAGTTGTAATGGTTATTCGGTGACGCAGGACTGAAACAACTTCCCCGAGGCCCTAACGCGACATATACCTTTCACTTCGATTCTCAGACATTCCAACGTTCAAGCGAAGCTAGAAAAATGTGAATATGTTATGCTAAAAGTTATATCGTAAAATTGTTGATAAGTAAGAAACGTAAACATTGCAGGAGCTTCCTCGCTAAATGTTGCTGTGATTATGCAGTTACCTAGGGCTGAAACAAATTCCCCTAGGCCCTACGTCCGACTGACACATTTTGCGTCGATTTTCAGACATTCCAACACTCAAACAAAGCTAAGAGAATGTGAAACTTTCATGCTAAAAGCACGCAAAGTTCTATCGATCGTCGGACACGACATTCAGGAATCCGAGCACCGGTACGGCAATACGGTTGATGCTGTCTCACAGGAGTTAATATTAGGGCTGGGCGTCGATTAAAAGTTTTAACCCGATTAATCGTCACCCTTTAATCGATTAATTAATCGATTAATCGGTCTCGTTTATTTCATTGCAAAATATTAAAAAAAGTATTTTTTTTTTGCTGAATCTATGATAAACGGTGCAATGTACAACGTGGATTATGAATTAATCAAGATCACTATCAGAGATCTTTCACAAAATATTACGTTTGCTGCGTGAGGCAAAGATGTTCGTTGATATTCTCTAAAAAGAGCGACTTCCTTTCATTGTTCACAATAGTCTCTACTGCGCTAAACAGACACTCGAGCGACATTGAAATGGCCGGGGACTGGCGTAACCTCTGCCCTAAATATGATGCTAAAAAATATATCGCCTCTATACAGTTTACCTTATTCTAAAATTTGACCTAAAGTTCGCCCTTCGTACAGGCGTACTCGTCCACGTCTGCGTTATGGAAGTGTTTAATTTTGAGTTCTTTGGTTCGTCTAAATTGTACCGATTAACCAGTTAAAAAATTTAATCGCGATTAAAGCATTAATCAATTAATCGGTAGGTTAATCGATCAATTTCCCAGCCCTAGTTAATATCCAGATGATCCAGAGCGATCTGGCACAGAAAGGGTATAAAGTCTCATACCTTCACATTTTCATATTATACCAGCGTCAGCGAGCACGAAGAAGCCCGAAGTCGTTGGAAAGCAGCGGCACATTAAGGCTACCCCGCACCGAACAAACTCGTATCCGCCAGCTCTGGGCGCTGCGCTGCCATCTTACTGATGACGTCACGGCTCTTGTGAGGTCACGCGACGAGTGGTCACTTTTGCGTACATGGCGGCAACCGGAGGGGGCGCCACTTTCGAACTTCCGGTTTATCACTCTAGGCCCCTTTACCTCGTTGAGTTTCTTCGGTTATTCGCCAAGTATTTGTACTCCAAGTACAAATACTTGTCCAAGTATTTGTACTCAAGATACTTTACAGTGAAAGGAACTTGAGTAGTATTTTAAATACTTTATGAAACAGGTATTTAGTAACTTATCTTAAATACTTTTATCGAGTATTTTGTCCAACACTGGTCTAGAGACGAAGCCAAGAAAGTAGGTTCAAAAACACGCGATCAAAATCGGCGTTTTTTTTTTTAAGTAGGTCTATTGGGGAAAAGTTAACAAAAGTGAAATATACATTTTTACAAACTGTTTATTAGCCATCAACGTAACAATAAAAACAATATAAACAGTGCTTAACGTAACAACTTTGTTATTCGGTTAAGGTGGAATGCAAATCAAACTTAACAACCCAAAACGTTGTGCAATTAAGGATCTCGAAAAAGTGGTACAGCACAAACTGCCTTGGCCCTCCGTAAATAAATTTAAAAAAAAGCATTTCGTTTTGCATAGTTTTAACATGCTCACCAGTGAGTGCTCATCGCGTGTTGCGGCGCGTAGATTTTTTGCAAAGCTGTAAAGAAAGTACAACAAATGCAGGTATATGTAGTCTAAATGTCGCAGATGTCTCAGTATGGCACATGGTCTTATCGCTGGTAAGGGACCTAATATGAACTTGAACATATAGGCTCATTTGTTCCATCTATATTTTCGCGCTTTATTTTCATTGTATAATATCACTCAACGTAAAATGGAATCAGCGAGTTCATATATTAGGATGAAAACCAAGTTGAAACACGCCCAGCCGAAACAACGAGAAGGCATTGCCTCCGAGTGTGGGGAAGACTTGACGGCTCGGAAAACAGGTATGTGTCGCCTGACATAAATGAACTCGAGGTTAAAAATATGCAAACCAAGCCAGACTATAAAAAAGGCCAAAGTTAGGAACAAAAGAATACATTGTTCCCGATGTCTTATTACATTTGTTCTCGCTGTCTCACCAGCCCTGCCAATTATTTATGTTATATCAGCTCTCCGGCACTGTTGCCGTATTACAGCGCATTTGACCATTTTCTTATCCACTGCGCTCTTCACCAAGAAAGCTGTCGGCAGCAAAAGTTCGCGGGGCACGAGAGCGGCAGCTGAAATGACTGGCGGCGCCTTCTGACGGCGTGCAGCCGCTCTCAAGACTCGCGGTTCGAGAATGCGCTGGTGTTCGCAGTCGTGTCTTTTTTACTCGCTTCCGTCCGACGCGCACAAGACAACTTAAGCGCCAGTCCCTGTTAGCTCATGCGCATCAAACAAAAACAGCGGAGCGAGCGAAAAAAAAAAAAAAAAAGTCTGCGAACACGATAGGAAGCGCATGAGCAAAACGCAAGTCATGAGAGTAGCAGCCAGTCATTTCGACTGGCGCTCCAGTGGCCCGCAAACCTTTTGCTGCCGACTGTACATGAGACGATGGAAAGGCACGTATGTGCTCCTTTCTACCTTAGAAAAAAAAATAATTCTAAAAGCGGCAAAACTTTCAAGGGGTCCCATTGCGGAGAAAGGGTCAGCAAGAAGACGAGAGGCTGAGTTGTGCAAATTTCTGCCGCCCTGAAATACTGCACCAGCGAAGCAACAAAAGGCAATCATAAAGCAATGATCTCCTCCATATCACATCCTAGTCGAAGGTGAGTCGTCTTCGCCGTAATCGGCTGCCCCGTCTCCTTCGTCGAGGACTGGCGATTCCTCACTGCCGGTGAGGCTAGAGCCAGAGCCATCATCGCTTCCTTCCGAGCCGCAGTGAGCCAATCCGACCGGAATGAAGTCAACTCCGCTCGTGTACCAGTAGTCCGCCGCCCTGGTGTCGTAGACGACGGTGCTCTTGTACACCGTGCTGGCTTCCTTGGCGAAGGAGAACACGGTCTCTCCATGGCGGACGGGGACAGTTCGAGGAGCGATCCTCATTTCCTCTAGGTAAGCCGTGGGTTCCATGAGCTCCGCGTCCAGGACCAGAGTGGTGCAGAAGTCTGTGGCCACAAACTTGGGTCTCAGTTCCAGGCTGGTGCGGTACTGCGGCGCCTCACTGGCGTATGTCATGCGAGTGGTGAAGTAACGGTCTAAGGACGGACCGCGAGGCATCGTGCGGATGTCCTCCGTGAAGTTGAACGGAACCTGCGAGTGATAAGCGGGCGAATTGTGACTACAATTTTCAAAAAAAGAGAAAAAAAAAAAAAGAAAGAAAGGAGTAGTATTTCGTCCTTTTTGCGGACCAAATCAATGTCACTGAAAGTGATCCCCCCAAAACGGCAAAACCCCGGTTTAGTCCCTCTCTTTTCTTTTAGTCCCTTTGCATAGATCCCTTTCGGTCGAAATTTTGATCAGTTAAAAGGAGCGTTTTTGATTCCTACAGCCGGGCTTCAGGGACTAAGTGTAACTCTTTAGGAGATTAATTATGGTCCCTTGACTGGGGGAGTAACCCTGATTCCTCTGGGGATCAACAGTGCTGATTGGGGACTAACTTTTCGTCCCTTTGGGGATTAATTTTGCCACTTAAAGGGATGATATTTAAAGTGACGGGGGAGTACCTTTCGTCCCTTTGGGGACAATTTATTGACACTTTTAGGAATGCATTTTTTAAAATAAAGAGGATTAACTTTCGTCCCTTTAAGGATCGATTTCGGCACTTTTAGAGACTGATCTTTATTATTATAGTATCTAGGGAGTAACTTTCGTCCTTTAGTGGACGAATTTTCCAGTATTGAGGGAGTATTTAGGCCGTAGATTTTTCGGCAGTTATGATAAGGAAAATCGGCGAATGCTTTTCGGAGTTTATTTTTTTATTATTTTTTTACTACATCGGTGTATTTCGGTGATCCACTTTGGACGAACACTAAAAGCGATGGTTAACGGTGAAAAGTCAAGAAAAACTAAAAGTTCAAGTAGGCCCGGGTTGCAACACGGAAAGCCTGCGACCTAAATTTAACTGAACTGTTTTTTTTTTGTTTTTTTGATAATAAGAAACACGGTTAGCATCGAATAAACATCTCTCCCTACCATCTTTAGACTGTTGAAGTCCATAGAGAGTTCGTAGAAACTTTCCGCCGTCCCGCTACGAGATCCGAACTCTCTGCAGACAAGGCTAGCGGCGCGCATCCGCAAGTCTACACGATTAATTCCAGTGTGAGTGAAACCGATTTGTAAAGTTATGCAAACCTGCTTATCGGGATAAGTCAGTCGAAAATACAAGGTGTTTTATCACTGACTAATCATTTTTAACAAACCATAAAAGATACAGGTTTTCTTTTGGGGTAACGTTGCTACCGAGTTTGCCAGTGTAAAGTGGTATTTTGCAAATGATTTACCTAACTTCTAAAAGAAACACTTTAGCCGGCACATTTCGATTGTATCCGTTTTCACCTCAAAAAACGTAGTAAAGAAAGTCCGGCTCCTCGCAGAGCATTACTACTAATTTCCTCATTGATGTGTAGAATTAGGACGGATGTAGTAGGATTTTAAATTATAAACAAGGTGTCATCCGAAAAAAAAAATACAAAGTTTTTGTCGCCGCAAAAATAAACTAGTCGTCGCCAAGCGCTCATTCTCCACCCAAATGTACCGCTAGACTCTAGAGGTTCGGACCAGGCGCCAAAATTTCAGTACCAACCGATATTTTATTGAAAAGTTGAGATTTTCAGAAAATTTCAATGGGAAAATGGGGCCCATTTTCGTTCGTGTTCGGTTTTTGGCGCCATAGAGTTCCATGTGTCAGACAGCTCCGTCGGCCAATAAAATACCGGTTCGTGCGGAAACTTTTGGCATCTGGTTCGGACCTCTAGCGCTTACTTTGGGCGGAGAATGAGCATTCGGCGATGCCTAGTTTATTTGTCCGATGGAAACAAAAAAAACAAAAAACAAAAAAAAAAAAAAAACTGCGTAATTTTTTTTTTTTGGGGGGACACCCTGTCTATGTTACCGCTAAAGACTAACACGTTAAAAAAAAAAAAAAAAAAATCGCTTCTACCTCCGACAACAAAATCTTGTAAGAAAGCTTCGCGTGGCGTATGAGCAATGCGCGAAACTTGCTTGTTTCTTGAGATTGCCCGTCGTCAAGACATGCCACAATTGTTAAAATACAGGCAAGTGATCTCTGCTCCGGGCTCCTCATTTGCACTTCAAGAAAAGAAAAAAAAAACAAAAAAAAACAAGTTTTGCTCATTTTTATAAGCGGCGCGAGGTAGTTCTTACGAGATTTGGTTGTCGGAGGGAAAAGCGATGCTTTTGGCGTATGGAATGTGTACGTCTTGATAAGATAACATATCTAATCAACAATTCACCTACGTATACATTAATTATCTACATGAGGGAGGAAATCAGTAATACTCGGCGAGGAGCCGGGCTTTTTCTTTTTTTTTTTTTTACTATGGTTCTTGAAGTGAAAACAGGCACGCCAAAGAGCGGTGGAAGTTCCGCCCGGAAGCGATGTCCGATTCCGAGTCGACAGCGTCGCGTTATCTAAGGGTCACGTGGTCCCAGAAAAGGCGCGCCACACGCCGCTGTCTCTTTAGGTGCATAGCTTTCGGCGCTTTTTGCCGTTAGTTTAGGTATAACGGACGCTACACAACCTGCTTTTTTTAGAGAGAGAGAGAGAGAGAGAGAGAGAGAGAGAGAGAGAGAGGGAGGGGGGGGGGGGCAGATGATAGCACGGAGCGATATTTAATTGTTTAAAGTTCAACAACAATAATGACATGCTTTGCCGACGGGCAACACGTACATTTCGAATTTAATGTGCCAGCTAAGGAGAACACTTCAAAAACTTAATTTAGCGTATTTTGGTTAACTAGCCATAATTATCACTTTACACAGCTTACCTGACGCCACGCCCTATATTTCTGATGCTGTGATTGATTACACATGTATACATTTCTTGTGCACACTAAATAATTACAGCTTAAAACACGGAAATGCAAATATAAACAATGACAATATAGGAAAAAAAAAAAAAACACGAATGAAGATTGTACAAAGCAAATCAAACAAAAACAAAATTACAACATCCGCGACATTTACGCATCACGTTTATCGTGACCGCACATTAGCGTAGCCTTCACGGAATGAGGTGATTATACGCGGATTCGCTGTAAAACGTCAGGCGGCTTGTTTATTAATTAATTTTCCCGAACGCTGTCGCTAAGTTAACAGGATAACATTTCCTCGACCCTTTAAGTTTTGCCAGCGTGCGACATGGATCTACGTTCGCCCAACATATTGTACGGTGGTTGTCATCGGCTGAACTGGCGCGGTTCGAAACATTTTCAAAACTGGGTGCGGCGCCTAAGGAGTCAAACTGAAAGCGTGTTGCTGAACCGCGATTCTGAATATTGATACCTGATATGCATGACGCATACTTTACATTTTACGACAATTTAGGTTTCAGCCGAATTGTTATATTCTGGAAACCAAATAAAAAACGTACCTGAATCAGTTCAGACGACATTTCGCTCCTTTCGCCAACGTTGACGGGCTGAGGAAAGCGGATGTTTCGAATCGCCCATTGTTGCGAGCAAATGCCAACGAACAGCTAAGCTTGTTTTGGTGGCTGCTAGCTTTATTCGCACGTTCATACAAATACTGACGCTTCTTCTATTTTTTAAGCGTTAATAAACATGTCAAATTTTTTTGTTATTAATTTAGACTCACATCAAGTAACGTTCACTAAACCACGACCAACTCTATTAGAGTTGGTCGTGCACTAAACATAATCAACTGGCGCTATTGTGATTGACTTCCGGTGCTGCATTTCTAGGGGAAAAAATATAAGAAATGAATCTACATAGCTTCAGTCAGCCATAAGCAACATAAGAGACTTTGACTAAAATAGTCTAAAACAAAGACTGCACGGTGCGACGTAAAACAAATAAAAGAACAGCGCACCAGGAAGACAAACAGAAAGCCAACGTTGCAGAAAACCCAGAAAACCAAACAAATACGTCATGCGCGTGCAACCCTGTGCGGCCGCGCAGTGGCGGCCAGCACAACGACGTAATGATGGCGGCCGCATGCACAACAGCGCGCATCATCAGGCATCCCCGCCGCCTCCCATCTTCGTCCCGTCGGCGGTCGTGTCCGTCGAGTGCCCCGGCCCCGCGCGAGACAGCGCCCGGCACGAGAGAATGCGGCTGCTAGGACGATGGCCAGCTCACCAAGCGGCGGTGACGGCGGCGAAGAGCGGCCGCACTGGCCCGACTTCTGCGAGAAGCACGCTCGCGTCGCAGCGGCCGAGTTCGCCCAGAATTACCAGCACTTCGTGGCGGATCACCGAGACACCGCTAAGGCGGTCGACTTCCTCGAGTTTGGCCGACGCTTTGCCGACGTATTCCTCGAGCACTACGAGGCCGAGGTGAAGCGACGGGGCGGCGACGAGACGTCGAGGTCGCTCGCCCCGTCTACCAACGGCGGCGGCGACTCGCAGGAACCCATCGGCGGACCACTGCGGTCTGCGGTTAGAACGCCGAGTGCGGCTTCGTCGCAGGACAACCTGCGATCGTTCTCAGTGAACCACGAGGACTACAGTGACCTGTCCGAGGCCGAGGGCGAGGCGTCTCCTAAGGCGCACCATCGACCCTTCTTCCGTCGTCTCTCGTTCAAGGGGCTCAAGCGGGGCAAGGGACTCTTCCACAAGCAGCACTCGGATGAACTCGAGCTGTCCAACCCTCCGCACCACCACCACCACTACGAGCGGCGCGCTAAGGGAGACAAGCACCACGAGAAGGCCAAGTTCACCAAGATTCTCGTGGAAAACGTCAAGGAAGGCGTCGTCAATTACGTGAGCGGCGAAAACATCGACGGTCGCCAAAAGTGGGAGAAGTGTCGGCTCGCGCTCGTCAAGACGATCGGCGGCTACCTGCTCGAGTTCTACGCGCCGCCCAAGGTACTACGCGTCTTTCCTTTTTTTTTTTTTCTTTTTCTTTTTAATCGACGGCACGCCGACCCCTGGCACCTTGCGCAAAGAAAAGGGAAACACAAAACAAGTTGACAGCTTGTTTGTGTGTGTTGTGGTGTCTGGCTGCGTGACCCGGAGAGCTATCATTAGAAGCAGCCTCCCCCGCCGCTGCTCCGCTCGTCGTCGGCGTCGTATCGCCCCATTTCGGATTGTTTTGACTGCGACGCGACACTGTTCCGGTGTGTCAGTGGCGTACGTTGGGATCGCGTGTTCATGCCGGTCTGGCACTCAGCTGATCGGATCGGGCTATCGGCTGGGCGCTCTGCTGCGTTTTAACGAAAGTTTTTTTTTGTATTGTTTGTTCGGGCTGTGTACGACAAATGTACACGGGGGGATAGGGGCGAAGTGTTGACAGTGCGTGAGTGACGTAAGCAAGCCCTGTATCGCTCGGAGAGCCGACGAGGCTGCATTATCTTCGAAGGAAGCGAGGCCGCATTGCTGCCGATTGTTGAAGCGCGCCGCGGCTATCTTCTTTTCTTTTGAAGGCAAGGGCAAAGACTTCTCTGCTGAAGTTTAATGCAGCAAAACCAGGAGGCTCGAATTCCTTTTCTTTTTACTTGATTACAAATTTGGGCATTTGTCGTGAAAGCTTGAAGCCTAGTCGAGTAGTGTCATCATCTAATCAGTTGCTTATCGCAAATTCTTCTGAGCGAAATCAGATAGGCTACATTGAATGCTACGGTTTGGAAAATTTTTGTTGCGTGAAAGCTTCATTCTAATTTGGATCTAATTCAGACCCTCGCTACTGTCAACGCCAGCCTCACAGGAGTAACTTTTCTCAAGATCTCACTGTTACGGCAGCTGTAACTCATTCGCAGGCAGCAACCACCGAAACGGTGTTGCAGCATGCTTTGTCATCGATGCTGTTAAGAATGTAATTCCTTTTCACTATTTTGTGCAAAGTTGCGCACCAAGAATGCATTTTTATATTACATAGCATTGCCAATACTAACTCGTCCCTCTCGAGCCATTGGCACCCAAAACGATCCCGTAGCAACTCCGCACAAAATCAAACCTTGTCTTCAGATATCGTCGCCCTAACCACCTACGGCAGTCGCGTAGGAATATTGCACTCCAGATGTTTGCCAAAACTTCAGACATTCCTGAGTTGCAACAATTCAACTCTGCAGTTTCAGTCCGGATTGGTGGCAGCAATTTGTGTTGCAGCAGTCGACAACTTGTCGGCAACCCTAATCTCTGCTAAAATTTCCTCCTCTGGAGTGGGCTTCTTGGCTTGAAAAACTTATGTCAGTGTTATAGACAACCATTTCTCCTAGGTAGTAAGTACATTTGAACTCTCCAATCCCAGAACCTTCGCTCTAGTGAAATGCAGTTCCAGGGTCACCAAATAGATGGTGCCTGCGTGCCAGTGTGTTCTCTCGTCATAAGAGGTTGTAAGGCATTCGGTCGTAAAGGCCCGTTTGCACTCTTGCAACCTCGTAAAACCAGGTTCCTTGAAACCTCTTGCAACGAGAGGACACACTGGCACCATCTATTGGGTAGCAGTGTAAACTTGGCGGTCCGGCATATTTTCTATTTCTCTCCCACATTATCCTTTCTTTCTTGGCTCTGAAAACTTTTCTCAACATTATAAACGAGCCTTTCTCATTAGTATTACGCACATTTGACCTCGGAAATCCCGCAAAACCTTCGCTCTTGTGAAATGCAGTTTCAGGGTCACTGCATAGATGGCACCAGCGTGCCAGTGTGTTCTCTCGTCCCAAGAAATTTTAAGTGGTTTTAACAAGTCTCGTCTCTCTCGGTCATACTCGGTTGCAAGAGTGTGAACGGGCCTTAAGGCCAGCTTCTGATGAAGTAACGTTTCCCAATGTCTCGACGTTGCATCAGCTGTGACACAGGCCTCCCACTCTTATATGCAGCAGGTGCGGGAACTGTTCACTACCTTTTTTGTTAGTCATTGCAATTGTAATTTTGGAAAGTGGCAACCGTTTAACAGTCTCAACAATTCAAGCCAAACGTCATCTTCAGTTGTTGCCGCAGGAGTCAATAAATACTACGTCCCCGATTGACTGCTGCCCCTTCGGATGTCCGAGTTGACACTCGGCTGTGCTCGAACCGATCCCAGCAATTTTTGTCGCAGCACGAGCATCTAAAGAACAACTCGCTAGCAACCCCAAAATTACGCGACTAATTTCTCCGTCCGAAGCGGGCCTAGCAAGATTTGTACCGCGTATTATGGGTGTTGTAGGTAGCATCATACTAATTATTGAATGAAAACTTTTTTTAAATGTGCATCCTCAAATGTGCGTTATGGCCGTTACGTTTGCAGTCTGTGAAGCCCCGGAGTGGCGTCTTCTGTTTCCTCATCAACGACGCCCGAGAAACGACGGCCCTTGAAATGCCAGACCATGAAAACACGTTTGTGCTCAAGGCAAGCCCACCATCACTAGTCATGTTCTAAATTGTCATCTATTAAAGTACAGGAACATAGTTACTCGAAGCCACGTCAAAATTCTGAGGACTGGCTAAAAGTAATTCACATTCCTTGTTTTCTTTGCATTTCCTCATGGCGCCATGTTTTCATTACATTGTTTCGTCCTTCCGCGTTGTGTGTCGACAGAGTTTTGCAGGGGTATTTGTTTCTGGGTTTCATACATAATGAAATTGGGGGAGCAAACGTCAAGTTCTGTTTTGACAAACCAAAATTTGAGGAACGGTCTGGTTTTCGCCCTTTAATTCGGGGATCGGGAGTTTCCAAGTTGCATATTTTGCTTGAAGTTATCAAAATGTCTTGCTTATTTGCCCGCAGACATGATCTACCAAAAATTGCTATTTCACAACGCGATACCATCTACTCTTTCTGACAGAAGTTACACGGTTCCTTTCATAACTACCATGGCTCGTTTTTTTTGTTTCCAAACTATCTCCTTCACTGTGAGGCTCGAGCTACAGGAAGTTTTCTATCTTAATAGTTCAAATTTTGGATACAATTTTTTTCACTTTTGGACATTGTTTTTGCTTGAGTCTACAACCTTTTAAAATTTCAGGCAGAGCACCATGTCGAGTATGTCGTGGAAGCGCACGACGCTGAGAGCATGAAGTCATGGCTCTCCACAATCCGCTACTGCATGCGGCACTTGGGAGACACCTCCGAAGACAATGTGTGAGTCGTCAGTCAGCGTTGTCTCTGCTGAAAACTTTTCAGCCAACATAGCTTTTTATAAAGCTTATTCGTGCCTAAGTGTGATTATCCGCTACAGCTTTGTTTCTGTCTTGTCAGGATGTCTATCTGTTTACGTAGTGTAGTGGCACGGAAGTGCGACAGCTGCGTGCCATTAGCCGCGCTGCCTTCGGATCGCCTCGACAAATTTCAGCAAAGCACATTTTAGAGGCAACGGTCCGCACGATCCTTTTTCGTAAATACTCGGTTCGGGGAAAACAGCGACGGATCTTTTTTACATTACTCTTTCCGGTATTACAGCCTTCTTACTTTTGGCAGTTTGGGCCTCCTGGACCAGACATGTATTACCTCCGAGCAACGTGGGCACATCTTCGGTCCATTGATTATGAGGCAGTTAAATTTGGCGGCGTGCTAATGCCGCTACGTTTGCTGAAATGTCATTCTCTGTCGTTCACTACACCTTAAACTTTTGTGCAACGTGCACTTTTTCTGGAACGAGCCTACTACAATCTAGAAACGGGTTTTCTGCTACGGCAGTTGTCGGTGCCTCGCAATGTTTGCTCAGTTTTGTTGCGTAAAGCCGCACGAGTGCTTTTTGCAACTGTTTTGGTATCGAAGTACGACGCTTTGCACATTGTGTCAGGTTCTAGGAGGCCCCGGCAAGGATGTTTTAATGAGGTGGTGGACAGAAGATGCCTCCCATGCTTCTTGTCAGACAAATTGATGAAAGCTGGTGGAAAGTTGCAGCACTATAGTCACTGACAAGATTAGAAAGGCAGGGTGAGCAAGTCTAGCCTAGAGCTTTGCTCGAGGACTAGAAAGCGGGCTGTCACGGGTAATTCCTTTCAGGCTTATCTTTAGTAGTTGAGGTTATTATCTCTGGCCATATTTTAACAATTGAAGATGTAGTTCAGCGGAGGAGGGAGGGCGAGTTCTCTTTGGCGGTTTCTTGGTAGTGACCCCAGTGTCTGCATTATCTCACTTGTCGACTTTCTAAGACCCTTCCTTTTGTTTTTCTCCCATGTGTTGCAGAAGGCCACGGCTGACTACCTCGCCGTCGGAGTCTTTGGCAAGGCTGCGAGACCAACACTCCAATCCTAAGAGTGAGACATCTTTCCCAATTTCATAGGAAAGGTCAACCTTTATTTTTTTACTTCATTTGGGCCGCTGGGCAATGTCAAGGGCGATGTAAGACGTGCCAATAAAACGGATAAAGGGAGTGCATAGATAACTGGAAATGGACCGAGATAAACTGTGGCAATTGAGTTCCTTTTTTTTGGAAGAGTGAGGGCATCCCGTCTTATTGCACCGAGCTTGCAACCTAATTGCTGTTTTACTGGCCTGTTTCTCTCGACAATTTTGATGATAAGCCTCAGTGAGCACATTAGTAGGCTTGAGATTCAAACTTGTTTGCCAACTTTACCAAGTTTCAGGTTTGGACGTGCACTGATTTAGCCAGGACAGACTGCTTTTACTTACCGTAAAATACCGAAAGGTTCGTCCACTCCATTTTCACTAAAAACTGTGTTAATCTAGACATGGGTGCTTGTCCAATCAAATCAAGTGCTTAACATATAATTTGTGGAATTCCCAAGTTTGGGAAATGTTAGTCGTGGGCGCTTCCGCAGTATTTTACGGTAGCTTGATGCTGTACCTTATATTGTTCACATATGCAGGGTTCAATGAAGACAATAATTATTGTGCTATGTTATAGTGTTCGAAAACAAATACTAAGGAATAGCACACGGAGCACCTGTGCCTTAGTTTTTAAGCACTCTAAGGGCCTCATTGTGTTTATTGTGTACCAAGTGGCCCAATTTTCCACCTCACTCTTCATTGTTTTCCAAGCCACTATAAAGGTTATAAGCTGAGTAGGATTGGCAGCCTCTCTTGGGATACCACATTCATTCACATTTAATGCATGTATATTGCTTTGCTTTAAAGTGATGGAAGTGGCATTTGACCTTTTGGAGCAGGTTCTGTAGCAGGCAAAATATTGGTTTGGAGCAACCACTGACGCTTTTGGAGCAGGTGCCAACATATGTTTGCACATTGCTTGAAAATAAATAAAAAAGCGACTGCATTGCTAAACCGTAGATAATGACCGAGGGTTCCTCTTTGCTACTTGAACATCTTACATATTACCTTTTGTAATACGAATAAAAAGGGTGCAAAAGGAGCACAGAGCTTTCATTTTAGAAATAAGGCTCTGGTTGAATCATGAATCATAGCACAACACTTCAGTCTGGTAAAGCCTCACTCCCCTCCTCCTTTGACACTCGATAGCCCGTAAATATAATTGCTATAAAATGCCAGCAAAAACAAAGATATCCACTAAGTCCTCCATCAATAAAAATGCATGCCCCAAGTCTTATGAATTTGCCAAACTCAACACTTTTATATAATAAATTTCACCAAGAACCACCGACAAAAATTATGAAAGTCTCCAGTTTAAATGTGACACCACTCTTCAGTGGCGTCGGAACCAGAGTTCAGTCAAAGTTTGCCGCTCTTTCGGTAGACAGCTGCAGGAAACTACCTCGACTACCACATTTCTTAAAATATAGACCCACATTTCTTTTTTTTCCTGGCACATTTTTTTAGAATCTGAGGTGAACCTACAATCGAGACCAAAGAACAAGGCAGATCGGTAATAGTACTGAGCAGAATTTCCAAGCCCATCGCACTAACCGATGCACTCCCCTGCGTCGGCCACTGCTCCTATAGTCGGTTACAAGTCAAGAAGGTAGGAGAAGCTCCTCCCACAAGCGTGATGCGCCTGTTTCAAATCTCTCCGCAGTCGAAAAAAAAGTTCACTAGAAACGCTCCTTGTTCCGCTTCAATGGATTCCCACTTGTCTCCGATCGCACTTTTTAAGAAAGCGAGCTTTGTATTCATCGGAGAGGGAACCGAGCCCCTGAAAGCAGCCTTTGTATCCATCGGGGGGGAAGCTAATCCCCGAAAGTCGTATTTGTTTCCGTCGGTGGGTGACAACTCTAATCTCCCTCTCGTGGCTTCTACAATGCTAAGTCAAAGTCGAAAGATAAAGCAAATATGTACAGAAAGGCAAGACCCTCCTCGCGCGTTGGCCGCGACGTCACGGAAACGGTGGGACGCTATTGGATGCGGAGGTGGGGGAGGGATATCTGATTTCCTTTGAGGGGCATTTGCCGCTACCTTCTTGACCTGTAACTGACTATAGCACTTCGGTGCAAAGCGGTGAAGCCCAACCCCTCTGGTGGGAGGCAGCGAATTGGATTTGAAATTTGGAAGAGTTTATGTTAAAAATATAAAGAAAAGTCGAATTCCGCGACATCGTTCTCCATTGCGCGTCACTGCGCACGTGATTTGTTGGGCAGTGCACGAGTTGAGAGTGGTATGGAGGCTCCAAAGACGTCAATTGTATGACAAATAAAAGAAAAACGATTCTTGCAGTCAAAATTGGTTTTTACTTTAATCCACGCGCGATAGGAAAGAACTGCGACTATCGACGTTTTTTGGAGATCGTTGGGTGCATGCGCCAACTCAGAGAGAGGAGGAAAGGAAAGGCGCCATTTTTGGGGTCTCTTTCGTCAGCTCAGCCGCTTGGACAGTGCTGGCTCAGCTCGATTCCCTCCACTATTCCCGCGGCTTGGCTTCATAGTTGTCATGCCTCACCACTGCGTAGCTGTAGGTTTCACAAATAGCAGCAAAAATGGGTAAGATGCAAGATTTTATTGCGTTCCAGCAGCCTTTTGCGGGTGGTGCACGAAAACACCCGATGTCAAACGCCACGCCCTTTTTGTAAGCCCCCGCTTTAGAAGACTGACGCGTCCCCGTGTCAGGTGGCCGGGTCCTCAACAAGACCAAGGGGCTTTCGGCTTGTAACTAAAAGGCCGTAAGGGTGCACGAGAGGTTGTGTAACATAATCATACCGTACCCTGTACTCAAGTGACGAAAAACTAGATAAACCTTTCCATCTTCAGGCTTGTGTTATACACATCACGTCTTGCAACATTAAAAGTGAAAAAAAAAAAAAAAAAAAGTCTCATTTTTTTTGTTTTGGTGAAGAAGGAAGACCAGCGAAGCTGTACTATGGTGGGAATGAAGGAATGGCTGGAAAGGTTGCCGTCATCTATGAGCGACGCAACAACTGGAAAGCCGGTTGTCTGTTTGCCGCCGTCGCTCATAGATGGCAATAGCTGTCCGGAGTGTTGTGTCAACATTTATTTGCCAGCAAACACGATCCTGGGGAAACTAGCCTTTAAAGGGATTGTCCGGTTGAAACCAGAAGTACTTAAGTTTTTGAGCTCGTTACATCGAGGGAGCCTTCATGTACACAAACATCATTTTTATTTTGATATATGATCTCCCGTTATTAATTAAACCTTTCATGAGCTATGTACAGAACTGCACCCCAAATTTCGTCAGCGTCAATGGCTGACGTCCGTAGCTGCTGCGTGACGTCACAAAACAAAGGTTTGTCGCATGGTCGGGATAACAAGCATTGGTTGATGTATGTCTTGTATTTTGTTTCGAATTATATAGCCTCCTAGGCTGTACCCTACTGAAATACAGTTCTATTATTCTCTTCTCTTCAAGCAAACGTATGCCGTTTCGCGCAAACACAACTGCGACGACCGCCAATCGAACTAGGAGCGCTTGCTAAGCAAAGAGGGGCCTTAGCAGCTAGGTACACGAAGCAGCATCTAGGTACGCATTTCTGCGGATCCACTGGATCGGTGATAAGGCTGCGGGTCGTTCCCTCAGAGGTGATGTCTGCGGGTCGAAGGCAAACGGCAAATCGTTCAAATGCATGTCGTCACTTGACTTGGACAAGCTTGGTGCATCGTAGCCACGCTCTATTTGCACATGCGGGTCAAACAGAATTTGGCTGCACGCGTGCTAAATACAACTTCTGGTATCGTTTCCAGCTGGTCTAGCTGTTGGTTTCGGTTTCGCTGCATAATCAAATTGATTGATCCGATTTGGGCGAGGAGTGGATAGACGTAGTTTAATATTGTTGGCACAGCATCACACTTCAGCTTACGAGCCTTCAGTCCGCTAAGAGCTCAGCTTGTAGCTCTCTTCTGTGAGACGATTGCTGCATAAGCGGGATCTCGACCTTGACGGGAACCACATCTGCAGCCCCTGACATCCGCATCCGATCCGCAATCCGCCAAAATCCGTCTAATTTTTATTCGCATCCACCAGTTTACTGCAGATATCCGCGGATATGCAGGACTCTACTCTTATAAAGGGGCATATAAAATTCAGATATTGCAAGTACGATGGGTCTTGAGGCAATAACAATGATATTGAATTGCTTTCTCAAATACAAAATTTGACCGGACAATCCCTTTAAAGGGGTACTCCGGCGATTTCTTCATGGTCCCCGATTAGCTTGAAATTTTGCTAAACTCGCCGAACAACATCGCCAAAATAGTGTCCCAAATATTAGGTCAAAATAATTTTTTTTCACGAAGTTATTGAATTTACAATTTTGGTCCTCACCGTGTTTTTCAAACTGAAAGTCTCTACTGGCAACAATGAAAAAGTGACGTCAGTGGAAGTGTAGGGGTTCACTCTTTGGACTGTAGAATTTGTTCCCAACTGATTCAAAGCAGTTTCATGGCGTCAAATGAATGCTTTGGAAGCTCGCTCCAGTCCCCGCACTCCAGCATGGAACAAATGATTGGCATATTCTATTTTTTAGACTGCTCGCTCGACTGGCAAGCTTGCCTTCCACTGACGTCACGGCACCGAAAAGTGCGGGTATATTTGAATATTGGTTTTTGCATCATTTTCATTTGCCGATTTCGCAATAACTATTATGAATTTCGCGATACTAAATAGCATACCGGAAAGGTTAAAGGCCGGGGAGTCAGAAAACATAGTTAGTTGAGGTAGCTCAAAAAATCGCCGGAGTACCCCTTTAACAGCTGTAAAAGAATTTCACGCTTTAAAGAACAAACATTTTGACCGTCTTCACCGTCCTACCACAGAAGCGGCGGAGTCCGCGACCGCAGTCGGAGAACCCGCCGCGGCAGGCACCCCCCGCTCCGGCACAGACAGCGTTGCCGCAATCGCCCCGGCGGCATCGCCCGTCGCCGCCTCGGGGGCTGCAACAGCAGACTCCGGGGCGTCGCCCCCCACGACGGGGGGTGTCCTCTGCGAGCCAGAGGCCAGAGAGGGCGGGGACCTGTACCAGTCCCTACGGGAGTACCCCTGGTTCCACGGCACCCTGTCAAGGAGCGACGCGGCCCAATTGGTGCTGAGGGAGGGGCCCCTGGGCCACGGGGTGTTCCTGGTGCGCCAGAGCGAGACCCGCAAGGGCGAGTGCGTGCTCACCTTCAACTTCCAGGGCAGGGCAAAGGTGAGTCGGAAACTCTTTTCCATTGGACAAATGTCTGGGAGGACAAGGTGGGAGGCGACTCGCATCGCAGAATAGAACCCGTTCCCTCCCGTTCAAGTCAACAACACAAAAAAATTTTTTTTTTAAATATTGCTGCATATAAATTCTGACAGATATGAAGTAGTAGGTTAAGTCTCAGCTAGAAAATAAACACGAATGTAAAGGATAGAAAGAGACAAACACACCACTGCAGGAATTCGGGGGAAGAACGAAGCGGTATTTAATATTCAACAAAATAATACCCTGCGGTGCAGTTCACTTATAAAGAAACAGTCGGTCTCTAGTCCAGATACAACGCTGATCGGTCATAATGATGCATTTACGGGTTTTGTCATTATCGTTATAAGTGGATTGCGCGTATATATAATAGCTCTAACTCTCTCCCTTTTTTTGGGGGTGTGGAATTGTTTCTTTCTTTCTTTCGGTCGTCTCGTAGAGATACGTATTGATAATGCATTTAGCAAGAGGCCGAGAAACCGCCTGGCTTACCGTATTTACTCGCAGAATGAACGCACTTTTTTTTGCGAAAAATCGATGCAAAGTTAGGGGGGGCGTTCATTACGCGAAGTAAAATGTTTGTAAAATTTTTGCGTCCGTATTTGCCCGCATAATGAACGGACCTTTTATCCTGAAAAATCGAAGTAACTTCTTATCTCTGCGCGCGGCGCCGGACCCGATAACCAAACTAAGCTGAGCAAAAAAAAAAAAAGAACTCCTTTTTGTTTTCTTTTTCTCTTAGTTCCTCGTTTTTTCTTTGCCGCCTTTGGCAAGCTGTTTTGTTTGCTTAGGCGTTGCTTAGACGAGGGCTCTCCGCTTATCTTTCTTATCTCCTTGCGCGCGGCGCGCGACCCTCCGTAACCAAACTGCTGCAAAAAAAAAAAAAAAAGAGAAAAAAAGCTCCTCTTTTTTTTTTTCTCAGTTCTGTGAGGTTTTTTCTTCTTCTTTTTGCTGCCTTTCGCAAGCTGTTTCGTTTGCTTAGAGGGCCTCTCCGCTCCTCTTTCTTACCTCCTTGCGCGCGGCGCGCGACCCCCCCCCCCCCCCCTTAACCAAACTGCGCTGCGCAAAAAAAAAAAGAAGAAAAAAAAGCTTCTCTGTTTTTGTTTTCTCGTAGTTCGGTGGGTCTTTTTTTTTTTCTTTTTGCCGCCTTTCGCAAGCTGTTTCGTTCGCTAAGAGCGCTTCTCCGCTTCTCTTTCTTACCTCCTTGTGCGCAGTGGCGCGTGAACCCTAGAATGCGAACTGCGCTGTGCAAAAAAAAAAAAAAAAAAAAAGCTCCTCTCCATGTTTTTTTTTTCTTGCTTCCGTTAGATCTTTGCGAATTTTTTTAACGCCTTTTGCAAGGCGTTTTGTTCGCCCACTCTGCCCATGCATTTGCGACCTCGCTGCACCAGGATAAAAAAGTGCGTTCATTTCGCGCGCGTGGGGGGGGGGGGGGGTCAAAATTTTGACGTCCTAGTTGGGGGTGCGTTTATTACGCGAGTGAAAAAAAAAGTCGAAAATTTGAGAACCGACTTGGGGGGTGCGTTCATTACGCGAGTGCGTTCATTGTGCGAGTAAATACGGTATTCTGTGGAACGCAACGAAGGTGCGATAAGACTTTGTCCTTTCAACGAGCAGCATTTGAAGGTGAATCTGTGCCTACTTCAATCGTTGACAGGACGAGGACGGCGGCGCGTCTTTCGAACGCCCGGCCTTCAGCAGGCACCTCGTGCTTTCTGCCAAGCTTTGGCTGCGCGCATGCGCTCGAGACACCCACGCATTGTCGAAGGTAGGAAACTCGCGCTGGAGGCGGAGCAACCGAAGCTCCTCCTTGCCGTCCTCGCCTTGTCGGCGACCGCAAGTTATTCTGACAATACACAGTTCCCACCCTGCTACAGAATCCCCATTCCTGCACAGCAAAAGGGGGGTTGGCAAGAGGGGCTTGATTATGCGGCGGTTATCATACCAGAACATATGCTTGTCCTTTTGTGTACTTCACGAGTTTCAGATTTCCTCATTCGAACATGACCGGCCGAGGAATAGCACTGTGGCACAATGAAGTGCAGCTGGATTGATGTATGTTCGAGTCGTGTCCCAGCATTTCCCTCCGAGCAGTCCGGTTTGGAATTGCGTCGAACGTTTGTCTCCGACATAATGCGACGTTAAAAATACAAAGCACATTAAAAAAAATGCTTGTGGAATACAGTATAGACCACTTACAACGTAACCGCTTATAGTGCAGGACCGGGTATAACGCGGCTTTTTTAAACCACCGGTTCGCCTCCCATAGAACTCCATGTAATTACATACCACTTAAAATGCAGGCGCGCGAAGGGAAATACCGGTTATAGTGCGGTTTCTGGAACAGTGCGCCGATTGCGGCGATTGACCGGCGCAGCCAGCACGCTTCCCTGTGCGACACTAGATAACGGCGCTAGTCTGGCTAGCCCCAAGCGGCACTCGCGGGGCAAGGAGGTTGCTCGAAGTCGTGGCTCCAAGAAGCGGAGAGAAGCGAAGAGAGAGGCTTCAGTTGCCATAGCGACGGAGGGTTCCTCCGCTGCGTTGGCGTTGGAAACAACCGCAACGACAGACCAATCGCAGGTCGAGGAGAAGTGTTCGCGCGCGTTGCATGCCGGTCGCGGGCCAACTTCTATCCGCAAACATGGCGTCGGTTGCGATCGTTCCGCGTAAAAGCGCTATCCTTGACTGTGAATTTTCGTTGTGTGCCGCTATGATAACCGAGCACGTACTAGAAGGGAGGATCCACCTACTCGTGCGGCGATGTCGTGGCGGCACTCTCAAGACGGCAGAAACGCCCGTGTCGTCGTGTTTGTTTACTTCGACTACAGTGGTGCTTTCTAAGCATTTGTGTTTCCGAACATCGCCCGGGTTTCTTATTTGGAGCATTTCACGCCTGTGCTAAAGTTGAAGGTATTACTGGCGCGTACCGTATAAAGGGTGCGAATTTTCACGCGTCTTCATCACCGGAGAAAAGTGATCAGGGTTAGCAATCCTGAACGTTCGCTACGTCCGTCCGCAACCAGCGACGCCGTTAAAAGGCTACGCCAGGCAAAAGTCGCTCATTTCTTTCAAAATTGACACACTTAAAAGAGAAGTGTACTAGTCTGGTGAAATAAAGACTCCTCTTTGTCTAACATAAAATGAATTCTTTTACAAAGGTAAGTTGTCTCATGGCATGTATTTTGGCCTGAAAAATTTATGTTTTGGTTATTACGCGGTACCGCTTATAGTGCAGATTTTCGCGACCCCCGCGACATACGTTATATGCGGTCTACACTGTAGGTGTGTTATGCTGCCATAAATTTCCGTAGAACTATGTGTGGGTGACACAAGAGGTGAGAGAATGGGGGTGATATATGAGGTGCCGTGACCTATACAAGTTTCCCGCTAAATTTGGTGGAAATCTTTATCTCGCGTGACCCACTACATTTAGCGGGGAAACTAAATTTGTGTGTTGTTCGTGTGGCATCGTCATGCAACATAAATTTCCTCGCAAAATTTAGCGTGGGAACTTAATTGGTGTATAGATGATGTGGTGACAGGTCATGTGACATGAAATTTTTTGCCAAATTTAGCGGGCAAACTGAATTGGTGCACAGTTCACGTGACATCAATTTTCCCATCAAATTTAGCGAAGGAACTAAATTTGTGTATAGGTAACGTGACATCAATTTTCTCGACAAAAATGACGGGGAAACTGAATTGGTGTATATATCACATGGCGTCGGGTCACGTGACTTGACGTCGCCTGACTTATACTGGAGAGACGTCACTTCCATGACCAAGTTCTCGTGACATCAACTTCCCAACTTTGCACCCCCTTCCAAGTGCAGAGTGAGACATAGTTCTACGTCAAAAGAAATTTGCCGTTCTTTAGGTAGGCACTTGTTCGGGGCGTTCAGTGCGCACACGTCCTCTCCGAGAGTGCATCTTGGGCAATGCTGTATTTTTGCTTTGTGCAAACAATTACCGTAGTGGTCAGTCCGGGGCACTGACCGTAACTGCTGTCCACTACCACTGCACGACACAGTTACCGTGGTTATGTCGGGCATTGATGTGAAACCTTTTTCTACTGCCTAAGCTAGTACCCAGGATGAGCATGTGCAACCATACTATAAATCAGTCTTAAACAGCCTTTCACCCGCGAAGACAAAAACTTCCCGGTTTCTCGTTGTGTCCTATGAATGGACTGCGGCATCGGCCGAGGTGCTCTCCGCTGTGGTGCGCACATGCTACAAACAGTCACACTGCACACGGACATTTGCCTGCTAAATTTAGTGGGTTAATATTGTTGCTAAATATAGTGTAGAAATGTTTCTGCTAAATGTAGTGTTGTGGCGGAGGAATGCATGCAAAGTTTAGCGGGAAAACGCGTAAGGGAAAACAAAGAAGAAAACACAAAACAATGTCACTGCATATAAATATTAACAGATATAAAGTGTTTTAACACTAAACAAAAAATACACAATATATAATAGGTCTTCCTCCTCTTGGGGTACAAAATTGGTTCTTTTGATTCTCAATTGATAAGGCGTTTAGTGTGAGGCCAAAAAGTCGCCTGGCTTAGACGTTCCGTGGAATGCAGGGAAATTTCTTCACTAAATTTAGGTAGAAAAGTTTTTCGCTAGATACCCCGGAGTAACGCGACATTGCATGACCACGTCACAATGTCGCACGACGTCGTGATGTCACATGATGTCGCGCACCGCGACGACCCCGCATAAATTGCACCCGAGGATCTGCCGCAAAATTTTGTCAACAGCGGTCATCATCAAAACAAAAAACGCTGGCTGCTCTTTTGCACTAACTGCGTCGCACTCTGCACCTTGGACTTGGCCCCAGTTTCCCGCGCCTTCCCTCGCAGCACCTGCGCATGACGCTGAACCCGGAGGAGCAGTGCCGCGTGCAGCACCTCTGGTTCCAGACCATCTTCGACATGCTGGAGCACTTCCGGGTGCACCCGATCCCGCTGGAGTCCGGCGGAGCCTCCGACGTCACCCTGACCGACTTCGTGCTGGCAACGCCCTCACCGGGCTCCGGGGACGCGCCGGGGGGGCCTGCCCCGGAACTGCTCACGTACGGCGGCTCTGTCCGCCTGCGCTCCACGTCCCTCGATAACCTCCAGGCCACGCATCCAACGCACGGGCGTGCCGTCGAGAACACCTATTCTTTCGTGTGAGAAGCGGCTGAGAGCAGCCTTCTACCAGACATTCGTGCCGAGCGGCAACTGCGATCTTGGAGATGCCGGCGTCATTCTCGATCGCCGCGAGCGGTCAGCGGCGCCACCTTCCTGTTGTTAAGACGCCTGCTCCCGAGAAGCTCGACCGAGAGCTGCCGACGTTGGCGTCGGGCAACGACCACAATTGTAAAATAGCCGTCACCACTTCCAAGCGCCAGGCAGCCGAAGTGGTCGCTCACCCGCCGTCGGGAGACTACGCGGATGCCGCTTCCTCGCTTCCAGACCGCTGTCGATGTTTGCGGCGACAACGATCGTCGTCAATTCCGCAGGCTGGCGTCAAAAACATTGCGGCTTCGACAAAGTGAACGGCGACGCGTGCCGACGAGGCCGTCGGGTTTCTCACCGCTTCCTTGTTGCCGTCGGTAGAGAGGAAACAACAATCGTGGGAATGTCGGCATCGTGGGCTCGACGTGGGTCGTGCCACCATTTGTTTGCTTCGTAGTCGTAAAGCCGTAAGCGCCTTGCAGACGCCGCCGCTGCAATTAGAGCGACTGCTTTTCTGCGAAAGCTATGTCCGGCAATGTTGCGGCGAGGTCATCGGCGGGTTGCTAAACGAAGAGGAACCTCGCGTCGGGGAAAAAGGTCCTACTGCGAGGAGCGACGCAAGAACCGACTTGCATCGTCCACACTTCCTGGGAGTCGTCCGATACGTCACCAGATGGGAGACGGTTCTCGTGGCATTGAGAGCCGAGGTCTGCGAAGTGAAAAGGAAGACGAAGGCGAGACACTGGAGCGCATCAACGTGCCCAGACGCTCGAACCCTGCGCCGCTTTGTTGTGCAGTGCGGTTGGCCAGTCATCGTCGCGTTTCCATACGAGCTTGATGAGTAAATTGCTCTTGCGGAAGAAAACCACGCTGTGAGGTGGTATACAGGGGTGTGCGTTACAAACGAGAACGAGGAGGAAGAGCTTCACGCGAGCATATGCACCAATAGCGAGTGAACGGTGAAAGGCTCAAGCCTCTGAAGCGATGGGTCATGTTGCTAGTACCACGGAGAGGAAGGTCAGGCTCCCCCATCCCACGCACTACATCGAGTTCACAGCTGCAGCAGACATTACGCAGAGCTTGTTTGGAAACGCGGCAAAATCGTTCCGCCTTTAAGGTAAGAGAAAAAAAAAAAAAAAGCTTCCCTTTAAATTTGCAGTCAGTCACAACATTTTAGACGAAAAAAAAAAAGGGAATTGCAGACAAAGTCATTGTGTTGCTCGACGTCTGGAGGATTGCGTGCTTGCTCAACAGGTGCTTGTGGACATTGTCTGTTTTGCGTGTTCTCCAGTTCTGCCGAGTACCTCTGTGTGTGACTCAATGTCAGTTTTTCTTTTTTTTCTTTTTTTTTTTTAAGCATTAAAATTGCCAGATTGTCATTTTTTCTGTTTGCCAGACAAATGTTGCAAATGAAGGACACCGTGAAAAAAGTGAAATTTTTTAGAGGAAAGGTTTTACTGTCTTCACTTGTACAACAGAGCAGGTTTGTGAACACAACGAGGGCGACAGTGAGGCACTTTTACAAAAATACTCTTGTGCAGGTTGACTTTGGGCAGACCCTTGCCCACTCCCCAACAGACCTGGTCAAGAATGTGGCAAGGGGACAATAATTAAAATAATACTTTAAGCTGGACAGTTTGCAGACCATCTTGTGCAATTTGCATAAATGACTGATATGTGTGCTACACCCCGAAACAAATACAAAATGACAAGGTAGAACAGAAGCGCTAATGTGGGGATCTCTCACACCTACCTATACTATGTTAAAGGCTATGGTATTGGGCTTGCTTTAGGATGTGCGCAAAATTCCGTAATGCTAAACCTAAAACGAAGATCCCACCTGTACAAAGCAAAAGACTATAAAGCACCTACTGAAGATGGATACGTAACACTTGTAGTTATTTTCCACTTATTATTTGCAGTGTCTCAAAGCAACAGATTGTCGTTTCAAGAGCCATCTTTTGTCACATATAGCAAATTCATCCGACGACGACTAGACGTGCAAGAACAGTCTGGAATAGTAGTACCCTGCAGGAAGCCAATTTGGTCGAGGCCACAGCAGACGAGACAAAGTGAGCAAGCGGCACAGCAGTTGCACCTTGCGGTAACGGCACACAATACAGGAATGTAGGCAGAACACAAAACTCGATTTGTCTTGCATAGCAGCAGCATAAAAAGGTGGGGACGTGACGGTCAACAAGCACAGCCTTATTGGTACGGGGTAACCTATGCTCGGTCAATCCCCTTCTAGTCAGTTCCTTCCGTTCGTGATTAGCCTGCCAATCACTAACAGACATGATCAATGACATTTGTGCACATTTTGTTTCCCTTGCTCTATTGCAGTTTCACTGCTGGGCCCATCACAGACAGCCAATGAAAGCTCCCCAAACTTGAGGTGTCTAAGGTAGCATTCTGAAGTGAACCCTCAACCCTCACTCATTCTTTTCTCGCTTGCCTATAAAAATATACTTCTAATGGTAACTTTCAAAGAGATGCTGATTAACTGTGACTGTGCATCGCCAACTTGGCAAGAGTCGGAGCTTTGTGCATGAACTTGTAAAACAAGACATAGCAGTGTAACTGGCGTGGGAAACCTAACATAGCGTATATTACACGAAAAACATCCCTCCTATAAACAGCATACCGCAGAAGCAAGTTTGACCTAGCTGAGCACATTCTTGTAGCATATCTCCGACAGAGGTTGGTAGGCAATGTTTCGTTGCGAGGCTCGGGACTGGAAAAGCGCTCGCTTGGAAAGATTTATCCGGTGGCTTGGATGGCAAGTGCACGTGGCACCTGGGGGAACTCTGAGGGTAGAGAAAATGCTAGGTGTAAAGAACTAACTGCTAAAATGTTGGAGCATTTGTGGCAAAATCAAACAAATGCTCTCTAGTATACCTTCTTTTTGGTTCTTGTATAACACCAGCATACCCAAAGGTTCGCCAGTAACCTGAAAGCTCCAACTCTAAATAGTTGTCTGGAAAATTGCTTTGGTCCACCAAACGCCGACAGCTTTGGCCAACTGGCCCGTCTACCGTTACATGCATTATCCGTGGAAAGAAAGTGAAAGTGCTTCAAATAAATATCAAACAAAATCCGTATCTTGCACTAATTCCCATTAATATAGAAAGAGTAGAAACTAAACTGAGGTTTATGCTTTTTCTTATCTGATTGAATGGCATTTACAAGATGACGCAAACGAAAGACGCAGTATTTCAATTGCAGACATTTGATATCGAGCCAAAGCCATTGGGGAAGGATGTCAAAGATGCACCAAACAGGTTTGGGCGATTTTATGGGGGATCAATCCTATGTGCTTCGTAAACTATGAAAACCCACAAGTCACTCACACTTGTCGCCAGTTTCGTATAAAAAGCACAACCAAAGATTGCTCACCAAGTGCTAACAAAGATGAAATTTTGCCATAACCCTCGGTCAGACTGTGGATGTCTTGGTTTCGATTTGAATCCATCAAATGAGGATCTTCGAAGTTTCTGAGGGGTATGTAAGTGCAGTAGCAGAACAAGCGGAGAGGGAAAGGATTGGTGTTGGAGCTTTATGCTAAAGGACCAGTCACACTGTAGCATATGTTTAAGCTCCAAGGACCTGCATCGAGTTACAATGGTGAGTCGCCGAGACATCCGAGCTTCGTACAAAGTGTGGCAGCCATTCCAAGGAGTACCTCTCGGAGTACCGCGCAACAAACGAAGCACACGTGACCCAGTGACTTGCAGTCACATCACAAATCTAATGCAAGCAAACGCAGACAACTGCTAGTGTGTGAATGGGCCTTTACCGTTTCCTTCTCAAACAGTTGACACGTCATGCTTAGAGCCAATGGCAACCGACTACTACTGGCTCGAGGCCACGCTCGTGCCAGACGGAAGGCGTATTTAACTCTGATCGTGCTTAATACAGAAGTGGAGAGAATGCGTGCTAATTACTTGCACTTTTTTTTTAATTCCTGGGGTACCTAACATAAAGACAGCGACCTGAAAATGATGGAGGTCACAGACCTTGGTACACCTTTTAAAAAAGCAAGAACATACTGGACCCAAACCATCGTAAATGAAAGCTCGACAGATCCTGTCATTGAAATTTGTTCGTGGTCATGACATACAAAAGCCGAAGGCTATTTTTCTATCCCACTCGAAGCTCTTGGCCGTGTAAGCACAACTTTGCGCTTGAATCTCGCATCCAACAGTAACATTCCCTTCCAACTTCCCATCTATGAAACAGCTCAAGAGAAACATGTAAACAAAACACATTACTGGGGCCATTGAGAACATTAGCCTCACACCAGCACACAAAAATAGTGCAATAAACAATGCTCGTAGTTGAAACTGTCCAAACGTCAGTTTAAGTGACGATTCCCCAGAAGGAAACTTTGGAGGCAAGCTCGAAGCAGAACAAAAACTTGGACTCTTAAAAACATTTTCCACGTCACCGTGGCAGCGTACAGTTGTAACGGGATGCAACCGAAATGCAGGCTAGGCACTATTGCATGCAAATTTCAGTACCTCTAGACTTGTGTATATGGATAGGTGTTCCCTGTGCTTCAAACACCCCTAGGTGCCTGCAAAATCTATGCCCTAATGACATTGCAGGTCCAAATTACGACGACAAGCAAACAGTAATACTTAAATAAACAAAGAAATAAAAGAAAGCTCGATACACATCGTTCTATGTGCAACAGTTTCGAGGAGAAAAATACATGAAAATAGCCACAGCGGCAGCTTTCTGCAGGAGTTTGCACCCTCCCACTCCACCGAAAAATTTGGACGCATAGAGGGCACAACCCCAAAATTACTCCGACACTTCACCACACTGCCGACGAACTGACTCGTGAGGACGGGGCTTTCCTCGTCTCCTCACCTCCGCATTGCCTTGGTGCGTGCTATCACTGGTGATGTTGATGATTTCGAGAGAAACAGGTGAGGGTGAAGTGCGCGACCCCCGTCTAGGTCTTGACCTTGGCGAGCTGGGCTAGCCGTCTCTTGGCGATCTGACGCTGGTGCTCCTTCATCATGTCGTGACTCGTGATGTCCAGCTGGCAACACTGCGAGCAGCAAAGCAAAACAACGGGGGATGCAGCAAACGATTCAAGGCTGACACGAGAGCCACAAATAAGCTACGCCTCGAGCGTCGACGCCCCGTTCCCCAATTTCCTTGCGAGTGCCGCAATTTGGGTGCCACAAAAAACAGGGTTCGAGGATTCCCGGGGTGAAACAATGCGTGCATTAAGAAGGGGAGGGAAAAGGCGTCTCGGAATGAACCTGGGGACAAAAAACTAGCGACGACGGATGCAAAATGGACTTTGGGAGAGACCAATCTGGGTCGCTGCAGCTCAATCAAGCCAGCCAGACCTAGCTTCCTTGGTCGAGAGGGTTCCTGCACTCAGCGTGTCTTCAGGATGTTTTTGTATCAGAACCCCCCGAGCTGGCGATTTCCCGATATGGTCTGTCGTCGACCATTACAATTAAAAAATGCGACTATCGTTTCTAGATGCAGCATCGGGAAGCTCGAACGATATTGTTTCCTCCGTTGCGGACTGTTAAACGTTTCCGGAAAGTGGAAAACAGTTCCCTGCAATTTTAAGCACCGAGATAACTAAAGTGTCGTCACTTCGAGACGTAGCTTATTTGGTTTTCTTAGGTTGGCCTATACACACCCAGCAGGCGCGATACTGCAAAACCAGGTACCATAGGTGCTGCGGGCTCGCAATAAATATGGCAAGTACCATCGTAACGAGGACCCCAAAGCCTAAATTATGGGGCATTCCCGCTCCCTTTTAGAGGGTACCTAAGCATGCATACTGAGGGTACCTAAGCATGCGTACCGAGTGTTTGAAGTGCACTTTTCTTAAACCTCTATAAGATGGGCACGTTGATGCTGCACATCCGGAAGTGCATGGTTACAGTGGCCAGGAGGAGGGTCGTGAGGAGTGTGCTACGAGTGCCGGCCAGAGCACGATACCTTGAGAGGAACAGGGTAGGTGGCTTGGCAGCACCTTTACGCGTCCGTGATGCGTAGCCACAGAACTAATTGTGCTGCTGCATCTTTATCCGGTTAAATTGTCGTACAGCTCAACATGCAAAGGCAAGCAAGTAGAAAATGTGTATCGATTAAGACAAGCATTGGGAGTATTTTCTTTTATGTTTAACGAAAGGAAAAAAGGTAAATCTTGACTACAGGGTGGCGCCAGCAACAATACTTTATTGCGGGTTATATAAGAAAAGATATTTATTGATACGAGAATGAAATGCAGATGCAGCACAAACTTACTAAGCAATAATTTGGTGTTCGACACCAGCCTGAATGAACGAAATGCGAATTGGAGCTAATTGCATGCCTATGCTGACAGCATCATAGTGTGTGGTCTGATTTCACCTGACTTGTACAAACAATGTTGGAAAAAGGAAGCTTAATCGCATCCGAAATACTAAGGTCAAACATACGCCCCAGTGTTTTCATACTACTACCGTAGTATAATTTCTCGCGAAATTGGTACATAAGAAAACAGAAATGGTGCACAATAACGCCTATTGCTAAGCGATGTCCTTGTAACATTTTTGAGCTCCAGGAACTTCTCACTAAAGGTGCCAAGAAAGCCTTATGCGGCTTTAAACTTTAAAAATTAACACATTGAAAAGAGAAAAAAAACTGCTTATGTTTGTTTAAGTGTGGGCACAGACAATACCTCTGCCATTTATTCACACATCACAAAAACAGGCTCTCGCTCAAACCCTCTTAACGATGTAAGAAACGGACGTTGCAAAGATTAGGTTAAGGCCACATCGAGACTGCAGTCTGTTGCATGTAAAGAGTAGTGAGACAGGCTCCTTGCACAAAGCACTCCACTCTTTCCACATGAGCAGAGCAAATGCTGGAGAGGAGGAAACTTCCAATTATGACGAGCAGAGAGCTTTGTGTGAGGGGCTTGTCCCGCTATTCTCATCCCTACAGCATACTATAGCGACAATCTCTTCGAAAAGTGAATTCCTACAACTGGTTCTCGGTAGAAAAAGACCCGCTTAATCGTTCCGATTAACTCGGGGAACACAAAATGTCTCGTATATGCATTACGGGCATTACTATTTGTCACATCCGTTTACGGAACCCCTTGGGTGGTTGCGGATGTGACTGACAGGCTCGTGCACTCCCCAGATTTGTCGGAACGATTGAGACAAGTTTAAATTTATTTCGCAACCGGGACGTCGTGAGATCCCTTGGGGAGCAATGTGTCGTCATTCGGAAGCCAGCTGCGTGCGCCACCTATCGCCTACTACTGCAGGCACACCTGAGTTATGCTCGCTCCAGCCGCCCGAGGCCCTGTTCGTTCCTCCCCGTGGGGCTGAGAAAAGGCTTCGGGTTGCGGATTGCACGGTTGAAGGTTCGATTCCCGCTGCGCCGCCGCTCGGTGAATGTCCAATTATGATTAAGTATAATTATGAATAAATAAGGTTCCATGTGCTTCGTGCACCCACGAATTGCCTGCTACGGGGCTATGTACGCTTTATGTTGCCTTGGCCAGTGCATTAACTGTTTTTCGTTACACCGACACTTGTCATACTAAATCCAGCCCGCGAACGCATTCTACTCCGACGACAACAAGAGAAGCATAGTAACTCTTGCTTTGCGCAAACTGGGACGAGGAGCAAGGCCCACCTGCGTGACGAGGAAGTCCTCCCGCAGTAGGGGCGGGGGCAGGGAGCGGAGCGCCTCCAGGGTCTCGAACATGGCCGGGTAGCGCTTGCCCACGTCCCCTCCCCCGAGCGTCCCCCGGAGCAGCACCAGGGCCACCCGGAAAAGCACCTTCACCCCTGGGAAGGAGGGAAGGACAGGCTCACGCACCGGTCGACCGGAACTCCCGTCCGAGCGCGCAGACGAAGCGATGACGGAACTCCGTGGGCAGGACTCCGAGAAGAATACCTTGGAGGGCTTCGAAAGGGCGGCGGACGCTCAACGACGAAGGGGAGACAGTGGGGAGGAGCTGCGGTTGTCCCACCTCCGGCGCGAACATTATACCCTTGACGACGTGTCTCGTCCACTTCAGACGTGCGTTACCCCTAGATTCTACGAGGAAGTTGCCCTTTTACGTGTTTTCACGACAAAAACAAGTTTTCCACATATTCAAGTCATGCCATCAAAGATGCCTACCGCAATATCCCGAGAGATGGCCAACCTGATACCAAAAGCAAATCGGGTGAAAAAAACAAAAAAAACTTTCATTGTGAAAAAAGAAAAAAAAAGGTGACTGTCTTTCTTAGCCAGCAATGTTTGCTTATCTCCCGTAGTGGCTAAGTAGCACCATTTCTGCGAAGGTAACAATTCGCCAAAAATCTGCAATTACCAAAAATAAACTATCTTTCAAAGTTTTTTGAAGAAAATAAAAAAAATCATTGCAGAAATATGGACGGGTTACCTTTCGGGAGTGGGGTATCTCTCGGGAATATTACGATAAGAAGAAGAACGCTGCACCGACACACCCATTTAGAAAATGGCTTCTCAGACTGCTCACCCTCATCCCCGAGCAGATCTGAGCCACCCGTCGATGCCACACACTTCATGTATAGAATACGTATTATTGTTTACAGGGGCTGAAGGCTTCTGCACCGCTTTACCGCGGGCTACTTCGGGGCAGTTTAGAACTTCTGGAACGTATTTTAAGATAGGCTGCATTTGAAAATCGAATATGGCAGTACGCTCAAGACGTAGCTGGTGCGGGAGGTGTAAATAGCTCGAACGAGTCTTGCATCGACGCCAAGACTGGGACGGGGCGGCTGTCGTTCGATGCGGTTTAGAGGTTCCTTGAGACGGAAAAGCTCGGCACCCCTCGCCTCCAGGTAGCACCGTTATCATTTACTAGGGTTATTAATAAAACAATGTCTGCAGCGACCCCTTTGTTCGGTGCTCTTCAAAAGAGTTGTACCACGAACGAAGCAAGCTCTTGCAGTATTACATCCAACGGTTTCACTGGGTAGTGAGCTACGGGACCTCTTTGTCTAAAGCAACTCCAATTGCGTTGTACGTTTAGACGGCAAAAAGCTAGTCGGCCCCGACGGGCATCCGGCATCTCTCCGTACTGGGTGAGAAATTTAGTACAGTGTCTAGCCCGGGCTCCATAATGCGCACCACGGCGTAGCAATGCATGATTTCCCCCGAAGAAATATTACGACGCTCGACCAGATTGAAACGGGCAGGAGGTGGGGACCGAACCCGGGGTCTCTGGGTCGTGCAGCACAAACCTTCATCTACCGTATTTACTCGAATGTAACGCGCATCTTTTTTCCGGGAAAATAGGTCCAAAAATCGCATGCGCGCTAGAATCGAGTGCGACCCAAAACTGCGCTACCGTATCGCCATCGACATTTCAAAATGGCCACTCCATTACACACTGAGAAGCTGAGAGGCTTAGAGTGTAGCCAGCTCGTGTTTCTTGCGTTCGTATCGGCGTGGAAGTTCCCACTGCAAAGACACTCCGCACTCATGATGCTGGATTCAAAAGAAAAGTGATATTGTGTGCGGAGAGCGATGAAATCGGGCTGCATCACGTGTGATGGGCGAAAGATCCCGTCTGCTATGGTTATCAAGGCCTTCAAGAAGTGCGGAATTTCTAGTGCTATGGACGGCACCGAAGACGAAATGCTTTGGGCCGCTGACAGCGATAAGGAGTCGTCCGACAACGATGACGAGTGATGCATACCGCCCCACGGGCGCTGCACCGGACCGTCGCCGTGATGACGACCTTGCCGACGAGAGATAGCGCCGTTCCTTTCATTGCAAGACTGAAGCATTTGGAATAAACCTTCGTTGTTCCAAGTGCAAAAAAGTTTAATTTCTGTATCCAACCTACAAAATCGAGGTCATCGCGTTTCTTTTTTTTTTTTTTCAAACCTCGAAAAATGGGTGCGCGTTACAATCGAGGGCGCTTTAGATTCAAGTAAATATGGTACGTGCTTTGAGCTGCGGCGTGTCACTGCACCGAACAGGCTATCTATTCCCGGCTCTTTGTCTGGCAAAGTACAGTTCTCTCAAGAACTGGCACGAGTTTGTTGGCTGGAAAGATCGCACTCACCCTCGCAGAGGAAGATGTCCCAAACGCGAAGCACCGTGGCCCAGGGCAGCGTCCGGCTGAAGGCGCACATGAACCACTCTGTCATGTACATGATGGGGTCCACTCGCTGCTTCTTCTGCACAACGGCAAGGAGGGGGCATTTCGCTTTTATGCGTCGTCATGGTCCTCGTCGTTTGTTAAACCTCGAGGGCATGACATGAGGGGTGAGGAGTTGCAGAATGTAATTATATGAAAGCTAGGGTTCCGTGTTTTCAGAAGATACCAATAAATCCCTATAATTAACTCCAGAGCCCGTTCTGTCAAAATAAGGAACAACCGAAAAACCATGAATCTGAGCTAGAAGAAACCCCACGTTTCGAGAAAAAAAATATCTTCGCCATCAGCTGCAGGGTTTCTTTTTGTTCTCTATTAGTTGCAAGTCTGTTAAGTTCTCAAATTTCCAGCAAAGCCAAAAAATAAATAAAAAAAAAAAAAAAAACCAGCTGGGCACATTTGGCTATGACTTGGCTATGACTTGGCTATGACTTCAAGATTCCTGGTTTGCATTCTCCTCTGCCACTTCCAATCGCTCGACTGCCCAGCACGAGGAGCGTGATTACCGTTTCTCCAGTGGTGCCCGCCAGGTGGCAGTGCTTTTTGAAACCGTACTGCCTCGACACCCGGTCAAACACTAGCAAATGTAGCGCCTTGAGAGCACAAGCCCCAGTTTGGCAATGGGCCCAGTAGCAGCAAGTCATTTTTCTCTATTGCAGCCTCACTCAACGAGTGAAAAGGCTGGAAGGAGCTTTGCACACCGGCAACCCCAAGGCCACAGCAAAACGCGTCAAAGCACTCACCAGGTGACGGTAGGCCGACGGAGAGACCCGCTTGAGTAATGCAAACAAGATTTCCCCGTCGAGCTGGATTGCGTCCTGCATCAGAAAATAGGCGCCACTCATCACAGGCTCGTTCAACGAGGCATCAATCTCCACAGAGCCACCAAATATGCTACGCTCCAGTCTAATGACGCCTTGACCACCTAAATGCTTCAAACCACTGTTGCCAGTTATCTCAAGCTCCATCTGAAACCGCAGGAAACTGTCTTCCATCCCCCAGAAACGCTAACAGAGTCCACAACATATCAGAGACAACATCGCCAGAAAGAGACAATGTATCTGAAGCGCAGGAAGTCGCACTTTCGAATCGTAACGGTATCCGATTGCGATGGCTCGGCACTAAACTGGCGGCGTCCACGAATGAACCAAGAAAGAAGTGCCGATGCTCTAAGCCTAGCTTACTCAATGCCTCTATGCCCAGGGTTAAAGGATAGAAAGAAACCAAGGGTGCCAACGAGAGCTGTTGTGCATGGCTTAATTCTTGTGGCTCTTGAAGTCGGCCGCGGAATGTAGTTAAAAGTCTGCTCAATAAGGACCAAGGAGCCTTAGAAAGTAATGGAACCTGCTTATTTTCCACATTACCCTCTATTCTTCCAGAACTGTCCCATTCATGGGATTGCAGGAATAAAGTAGGACCTCGGAAATCATACACCCTGGTCCCCAACAAGACTGTCAATAATAAGTCGAGGGTTAGCTCCCAAACTGGGTGAGGTCTCCACAGAACCCCTTATTTAGGGTATACATATATACAGGGCATTCTTTTAGTCTTTACAGATGTTTTTTAAAAGCCGTAAAAGCTACACTAATGGGTTCCGAGCAGGTCAGTTATACAGCCAGGAGGACATAATATAGGGGGCTAATTGTCGCAATAAGTCAAACAATCAACTATACTGTGTTAATTAACTTAGTGAAAATAAACAAAAGGTTCCAAATAGAAACTAGCTGGGCATCATCAAAAACCACTAAATAAATAATTTTTATAAAGTCTGAGCTCGTGACAAGTGCAGTAGTGCTCTTAAGTTACCACTTGTGTAAGAGGCAGAAGGCTGGCGACGAGAAAACAAGGATGATGAGAGACAGAAGACCGTGCGGGAGCGTTACTGCACTGCTAGCCTCGCTCCTGGTGCACAAGTGGCGACCTTAGCGCTCCACCGTGCTTCCTACATGTTCAGTCTTTCTAAAATTGACTGATTAAGTGGTTTTCAATGATGCCCTGCAAGCCTCTCATTGAAACTACTATATGTTTATTTTCACTAATTAAAAAGTAAATGAACATATAGTTGACTTATTGCAACAATTAGCTCCCTATACTATGTCCCCTTGGTCGTATAACTCACCTGCACAAACCGCATCAATGTAGCTTTCACAGCTTTTTTTTAAAACAAATCTATAAGCCTAAAAGAAATATGCGTATATATGGTAACAATGTTACTGTATAGCAACAGTAATGTGTCAGTTAATCTCCAATGTCTTAGAGTGCCTTTCTTCTTTCAGTTTCACTAAGTACCCTAACTGAAGTGTCATCCTTGTACTGCTTGCAGGTACAGTCAAACCTCGATGTAACGACGTCGGTAAATTTGGAATTTACTTCGTTACATTGAAATTTCGCCACATAGAAATTCAAGGCTAACATTAAAGTTTTCACAAATGTTTCTCGGTTGTACAAGACTCACCGAGGACGCCTTTATTTCGTCGCCTTTTTCGTGGCCACTCTTGGCATTATTATTGGCATCACACAACGTTCGCGTAGCCAGACATCCTGCATAGCGTCTTTGTCTTGCTGTCTGCTCGGAAACCGCCTCAAGACATCGATCGCGTCCACCACTTCACATTTACTGGGCACATCGCAGGTGTCTTGCTCATCAAACTAAATGTCGTCTCCGTCTTGCGAGTTCCCACGAACATCGCTAGCCTATTGCCTCGTCGGTTACCTCCTCCGTCGCAATGACAGCAGAGTCGGCGTATAGAAAGTCGTGAAGGTCGACGCTGTCAGGGGCGACTCCATCGCCTTCATGGATCCATCGCCCAGGACAACGAGAAACGCACGTTTTTAGCGAGGCCTCGAAACAAACCATGCAGCGTGAACGAATCCGACGGACGAAACGGCGGCGATTCGAGTGTCCTCTAGTGGCCGTTCTGTACACCACGCTCACCGGATTCGGCCCGTTTCACCCTTCGCGCTTTATCGGGGGCCCATTTCAGCACATGTGCTTCCCAAAATCTCCTTTAGGACCCAAAGGTTTGTGAGGAATGGTCCATGAAATTTCGTTACATCGAAATTTCGGCAAACGGGACTTCGTTACATAGAGGTAAAAAATACATGGCGTGCATACACTTGCGGTTAGAAAAACTTATGTACTTCGTTACATCGAGATTTGCCTGTACACTATTGGTCAATGAAGTCTTCACTTAAATTTGTTGCCCGAGAAGAACAAGCAAAAGTTATCATGGGCAAACAGGCGGCTTAATAAGATTCTTCATATCCAAATGAACTTGGATGAAATGATGCATGCAGAGCTGCCATATTTGATTACGGTGCAAGAAAAGAAAAATGGCCGCCACTAATTTCCGGTTTCCTCTGGGCGGAGGGCTTTGTCCAAGTCCTTCTGGGAAAGGATAGAGGGTGCTGGACATACAAAAGAGCATAATAGACTCCATATCTCGTGTTTTCCAGATTACATTTCATAAAATTTGATGGGGCCAAGTTCGTACAGGTTTTGAAGACAAAAATGCAAAGGTTCTCAAGGACTTTCAAAGATATTTCCAAAGAAACCGTACAGTGCCTGGCAATTTTATAATGGCACAACTTTTTGATCACACTATCTTTTATTAACTACTCATGCGTCATGCGTTGTTCAGGTCTGACAACCGCTGAAACAGTGTCGACGAATTGCTCATTTAGGCATGGTGTACAGCTACCCTTGGAGCTATCTATCCACTGCAGTCTTCAAGTTCCCACCGTGTTTCACACTCCTGATACGGCATTTTGGCGCAGACTCTCCTATAGTCAAGGTAAGGAACGTTTGTCAGCAGGGCTTTGATTTCGCCCGATACGAGTTCATTGGATGCGGCACCTGCATTCACGGTTGATGAGACAAAACCATTGGAAGTTGCCCTTACTGGGCCTCCCACACAACCTTAAGCACGTCCACGTGCATCACATGCCACATTAAGCATATGCAGATTGAGCCAACCAAGCGCAGACAACAGAGAGCATGTGGAAGTGCAAAGACCGCAAACCGCAAGACAGGTAAACCGGACAAAACCAAAACTACTTTGAATGTTGTCAGGTGCTTAATGAACATCCATTAAATGTCTCTTAAATGCGATACTGTAAAGTGATACTTGCTTGTCAGAAATTTATTTTAATTTTTTTAATATAAAATAGTTGTGGACGAATAATGGATTTTGAGTTCAAAACATATTAAAAGCGAACAGCGGTTTTGGTAGAATGTTTTTGAATTGAATATTGAATAATTTCTCCAAGCCTTTCACTACTGCACCATGCTCAAACAAAAACCCAGCTGAACTCATAAAGGTTGTTCTCAAATCGCTTGCGCATTTGTAAGCTAATTTTAATACAATATTTATGAACTGTGGCCATTGAAAATCCAATGCTCATATTGGGATGGCAAGTAAACGATGCATTTGGCACAGATTTACGCCTCCAGAGATGCCCAGCTATACCTAACTGGGGGGACTTAGAAATCTTATTGCTATATGAAAATAATTTTTCTTAAATCTCGAAACTGAAAAAACAAACGAGAAAGACAACCTTGAATTATTTAAGCAAGTTTTCAGGGCATCTCTGCCCAACATACACTCCTGCATAATAGCAAGTTTAATTTTGAAACTATTACTGAACTCGTATGCCACAAAGTTTCCTCTTCTTTCTAAATACACCAGTCCAGTGATGTGATTGGCCTAAGCCATTTTGGCGCACGTTTCGGAGAAACCAAAACAATGTTTTGGAGCAGCAAATGTGGCCTTTGGAGCAACCAAAACAGTGTTTTGGAGCAGCAAAAGCGGCTTTTGGAGCAGCCAAGACAGTGTTTCAGAGCAGCAAAAGTGGATTTTGGGGCGGATATTCTTAGGAAAATAAAAATATTTGTTTTAAGTGCTGTACAAATGAAGGGCACTCTATGTTGTGTTCTGACGTGACGTGTTGCGACGGAACTCGCTGCTTCTGTTTTTACTGCTCAGACATCCCAAAAGTGTACAGTGCTGTAGGCGTTGCCAAGCAATTTCGAAAAACCACTTGCCACCGTTTTACTGGTACTCGACGTGCCAGATTTTTGTCAAAAGTAAGCAAACGTAAAACAATGAATTGCAAGCGTCCCAGCTGGTGCCTCAGTCACGCAACATGTTCGCATTGCACGTGAAGCCAACTTCAGCAGGCTTGCTGTTGGGTATGCTTCGTCGCACAAGTGCAGACAAAGGCCGTCCGATTGAAACCGAAACCATGCCCCTGAGCTCCGTCGCTAACTTATCTCCAAAATTGTACACAAAATGTAACTTTCAAGCATGCAACAAAAACAGTCCAGTGGCACGTGCTTGCCGGGCCGGCAAACAAGGTACAAGCTAAACACACAAAAAATAAAGAACCTGAGTGCATCGATGCAAGACATTGCGAGCCAGCCCCAAAAAGTTCTTGGAGCGCTTTGTGCAACCACTGAACTCGAAACAAACAAGCACGCTGTGCGGGTTCAGTGTGCAGACATTGCCTTCTTTGCTTTAGCTCACTTCTCTTTACCAACTTTCTTTCACGGCAGATTTTTCACGTACCGAGGTCCCTCTCAAAAGAAGGCCCGCCGAGAGGAATCTAGATAATCAATACCTACTTTGACAGAGCAGTCTTTGAATTAAAGATGGATTTTTGTAGAAACGTATGATTTAAACAAGAGCAGGAATGTTTCTGAACATGCAGCGGTACTTAGTTTCATTTTAGAAAGTACCATATCTGCAGTGATGTGGGGACGGCAACATTTGACGTCGCACGACCACGGTGACTGAAAGGCAGTGAACAAATAGTTTTCCCACAGCCGTTGCTTCAGCTCACAAAGTAACTCCTGCCGCGCAAAAACATGGTTTCGTTTCACAGCACGGCGGCATAGCTGGTACCTAGAGTGCTACCATCGGAGCGTCTGCACACATCCGCGTCTATCGCTGAAAATATAAGAAAAAAAAAAGATGAGAGACGAGACCCACAAGACGAGAGCGCGAAACGCGAGACGCTGGGAAAACCATGCAAGACCGGGAAGACAATTGATGCACGGTACTTTGTGTCAGGTGGCCGCTTGCGCCACATAACACACGCCTGCTCAATTACAGTACTCAGTTTAGTTACGGTTTTGAAAGGCGACCTAAATTGGTCCTTTAGCGCAGGCTTGGCGCAGATTACCCATATTTTTGGCAAAATGTAGCAGGATGTAACAGGGTTAGCCCCCTGGCGCAGTTTGGCACAAAGCGCAGCAATCACATCACTGCCAGTCACGCGCGTGCAACCTCCCGCTTTGAAAGTGCTTTCCTTCTAAGCACGAGACTTGATATTCATACTTTTCTAAGATCACAGCAAGTTAGCCCTGTTGAGTGCACTTTATACCGAGCACTGCCGCTTCTCTGCACTGTAGAGAAGCAACACCCACAAAAGCGAGGTCTGCTTCTGTGCAGTGAACCGGTGCTCGGTAAGAAATGCACTCATTACAGCTAACCCCTCACAATCAACTTAGAGATAAAAAAAAAAAATAAAAAAAAAGAATATAGCAGTTTATTTTTAGCAAATATTGAATAGCGTATTATTTAAAACTATAATTTGAATATTCATACATTTCTAATATAAATGTAAGAGAATGTAAAGTAATTGTGGTTTATTGCGTTAAGAATACAATGACTGTGACTAGTCATAAACTTCGGGGGTGTTCAAGCACTTGAAAATTCCAGAGCTGTGAAGGACTTGAAAATGACATTTTCAAGTTCAAGGGTTTTCAAGGTTTAAAGGACAGATGCGAACTCTGTGGGGGCAGGATGAGGTCTGTAGGGGGTATGAAGTTCTAAGCAATTTACACTAAAACATTCTATTCCTCCAAAAGTCTTGTTCAAGCTACAAGAGATGCTAATCATCTTCATTTTCATAAAATAAAAGAGAAAAAAGAGAAAACTGAAGACTGCTTACACACTTGTGTATGTAGTATGTTTAAAAGAAAAACCTGTAAAAATATCCTGTATGCTGAGTGCTCCCTTTCCTACCTACCTAGCTAAGCAACAAGCATGCAGGACAAACTGCTGCCTCCAGAGATCATAGCTAGCTAATAATAGGTGGTGGTAATAATAATAATAATAATAATAATAATAATAATGATGATAATAATAATAATAATAATAATAATAATAATAATAATAATAATAATAATAATAATAATAATAATAATAATAATAATAATAATAATAGTTCATTTGCCATCATTCAAACTGGAAGCTAGGAAAAGAAAAGCTGAAGGAGCAACTTTAGAAGTTTCAAGCACTGCAAAGGTTTTAACAACAGCAGCAATACACAGTTCCTTCTGTCCGTGCAGGAAAGTATCGCTATAAATACAGATTGAATGCAAAAAAATACACAACGTTAGAGTACTGGCAGAAACAAAAAGAACCAAAACTGCAATTCTCTCGTCCGGGACGTTGTTATGTATCCGTTTCGGACTTGGTCAAACTATGAAGAAATTTCGGAAGAATGAAGAATAATTTGAAGGTTGTAATTTGATCAAGAGTCACCAACTATCCAGGGTTCACGGCAGTAGGTTGAGTAACACATCATGTTTTCCTTGAGTGACGCCAACGAAATGAAGACAACCTCGTCTGGTCACGAAACTTCTCCGTAACGACATGAGGGAGCTTCTTTCATGATTACTTGCAGCGCTGCCGTTGACAGGGGGGCAGAGAGTCACTAATCTAGTCCCCCCCCCCCCCCCCCCCCCCCCCCCCCGCTAAGAGTATGGCAACCAGCAAGCGGTGTCTGAATTTTGAACCCACTCTGAACGAGTCGCACCTTCGTCGGAGAGACGCATCATTGCGTCTCTCCGACACATGACGCATCATTGGACCGCCACAGTTTCTTAGTAATGAAAGTGTCTCGCTTTATACACTCAACCAGCTGCTACAACCTCCCAAGGTATCATAATCTTTCATTCATATTTCTAGCATCAAAATTACTTTTCAATACCACCTGTACGTCAAAATTAAGTGTTGCAAGTTGTGCCATCTGGTAAAGGCACTGCAAACCCGTACGCTACATTGCATGGCTCCTTTTCACCTTTGAGAGCGTTGTTTGGTGTGAAAAACCGACGAAAAACGTTCACTCCCAAGTTGCGCTCTTAGAGGCAACTAAAAAAATGACCGGCACTTGAATACTGCAATCAATTGCAGGTGTAACAGGGTGTTGGTGTACGAGAAATTGTTTTTACAAAACCACTTCACCATGCCGCAAATTTTAGTTCAGCTCACACGGAGTGGAGAGGCCAAATGACAATGCCCCCTGTCGACGGCAATGCGTCTGCTGGCAGCTTCTGTCTCAGCAGCAAACTTCGGCCGAAGTTTAGCGACCAGAGGCGTATTAAAAGAATCTGGCTATACAAGGCGAAAATCTCCACTACATCCAGTTCCGTGCGAGCATCGCAGCATTACGACTAGAAAAACGAGGGACAACAATAGAGTGGTGGCCCTGCACGGGGCGCACGGGGCACCGTAAAATGAGAGGCAGGGACACGCACCAGGCCGGGACTGTAGTAGCCGCGCAGGTACTTGTCGCATATGGAGACGAGGCACCAGAAGGCTGGCTCCGCGGGCATGTGCATGAGCAGCACCGCCGCAATTGGGGCCTGGCCCTGGCAGTAGCCCACTGCAGGGTTCAGCACTGAGTAGGCCTTCAGGATGCGGAACAGGTCCTCCTGCCTGCAGCGCCACAATCTGTTAAAAAGACGCTCAGCTCCTGCCCCCAAAAATGCTTATCGTTTAAGTGCCAGGATAGGACAGATATATGTCACAATATAAACTAAAGAAACAATATAAAAATAATAACAAAAAAAAAATTAGTGCCATTTAGGAGCTATTCTGAGACATGTTTGTACTTTGAGACATTAGACCTCAAAGAGAAACATGTTTAGGAATCTTTCAACTGAGTTTTAACAAAAAAGTATTGCACTCATTTCTTCACATGGGGTGAGGGGGCAAAAGGGGAATGTTTATTCTGTGACATGCGAGTCCCATGCAGGCACTTAAAAAAATGTTTTTTGGGACTTCAGTGCTAGACTCAAGAGCGTTGACACACCGCTCCCTCACTGCCCGATGTTGCCAAGGTATGTCCGTGACGCGGGACTTTCTTTAGGTTCACTACCATTTGGTCACACTAAGCTTAACGGAACATGTTGGCGACAGACGCGGTTTTAAAGTGATACTCCTTGCCCTTCAGATCCGTCTTAGGAAAACTCTGGGAATGTTGTTGGCAGGTTTGTGTTGCCTTGAAAGCAATTTGTAGGCAAGACAAGGTATAACAATTAATGATTAAGAACCCTGAAAACGAAAAACAAAAATATGAAAAAGTTTGAAATGAACATGCCTTGCTTCAAGAATTGCAATACTTACACAAAACCATCTCCCTAATGGCTGCTAAATCGGTACTGCTTAACATTCTAGAAAAAAGGCAATGTTATATCTTTCATAAACTTCATTCTTGGGTGCATCAAATTACTAAAAAGAAACAAACCACATGGTAAATTGCAAGTTCCTAACCCCCCAAAAAAAGAAAAAAAGAAAACAGCTATACAACTTTTATTGCATTGTTCCCTATATTTGCCAAGTCATGACGAAGCAACCCGAGAAATCCTTACTCCCCTACAAGAAAGGGCCTGCCACATTCAATTCACGCTACACTAAGGGCTGTTGCAACAGGACACAGCAGATGGCATGCTGTGACACAACATCGGTATGTGCTGTAAAAGTTGCTGCGCGATCACCAGTTTTCAGACTGGACGTCAACCCCGCAAACAGCACAGCTTTACTCCTTGCTATTGTCTCTTCCCCTTTCTTGTTTTCGAGAAATTGGGGACTGATAACAACTGCGGAGGCCCCGACAACAGCCAGCAGGACGTACGAGTGGCTGACCGGATCCACATGATAGCACGCACTGAGACTCTGTCGAAGGCCGCAACAGAAATCCCCCCAGCAAAAAAACATATGAAAGTGAACCACAGTATGGCATATGCCGTGAATTTAGAAAACACTTTATCTTCAGTGAGGAAACACGCCGTTTTCTGTGTCCTGTTTGAACAGCCCTGTCCACGGACACAGCATTGTCGTGTGTTAACACTAGGAACAGCACTGATGCAGTGCTGACCTGAACGTAACTTAGCCCCGATGCAGCGTTGTACCACTAAGGGGTCCATATGGTCCACAAGCCGATATCAAACCCAGGACGGCTTATGCCACGACCAAAGATCGACCCCCTAAACAGAGAGTGCAAGGTGTTGTTGTTATAAGACTCCCTGCACGGGTTGCCCAGCCACGTACATCGGCAGAACCAAGAGCTTGCAGGAAAGGGTCCACCAGCATCCACACGATGTTTGCAATTTTGATCACGAGCACAGATTGGTCAATCGCAAATGCGGCATCAAGGACCACCACATTGGAGTTCGAGAACACCTGCCCCTGCCTGCTCCCCCCCCCCCCCCCCCCCCCCCCCCCCCCCCACCCTCAGCATTAAAAACTAACCACCGACAAAGACTTTTTAGAATCATGGCACATTCAAACTACACCAGGAAGCATCGAAGGTCTCTTGGTGCTTTACCATCTGCCTAGGTCAACGAGCTTTGTGATATCACCAACCCATAGAAAAATGCACCATCATTGGAAAAAAAAAACAAAAAAGCTGTTCCTTAAAGGGACAATGAAGACGATTTTATTTAATTTTTTTAAATGGTGTTTTAATGCTTCTTGGGAACATAGCATGCCACCCAATTTTTCGTAGACATTTATGACGCGTGTTTATCTGCCTACGAAAGAAGTAAAGAAACCAAAACTGAACCATATCCAGTCTCGTTTCTGGGCCTCCGAAAACGGAGGTGACGTAAGGAGTGACGTCAAGTGTGAATAGTCGGTATCGGTAGTATTTAGGAGATCGAGACTCTAAATACCGCGGTGGGTTATAGCAGCGCGGTGGCGCGGTCGTTGCGCCGACTCTGTCGACATGGACGAATGCCGCTCTCGCGAGCGAGTTCGAGCTTCCGTTGAGTGACCGAACACCAGCGGAACGGGAGTACGTGTGTGGCGGCCTCTGCCATCACCCGACGGAGACCACCTAGCCGGCAACGAGCGGCCCGCATGCCGAAGGACGGACGCGGGGGAGATGCCGAAGGGAAAGCGGCAGCGATCCCACCGTTCCGGGATCCGGTTCCTCCGCAGACTTCCTCTTTTCGTCGTCAAAGAACACGAACAGCAACCCACACGTGAAAACTAGCGTCGCCCGAACGAATACTGGTCTTCAGTCGACCGTTAAAACAGCCATCTACAGCTACCATTTTGCAAAATCTTTCGAGTACCGTGTTCTTTTTTAATTTTATTTGTTTGCCCATAGTTGCTCGTTGCCGGTTTCGCGTCCAGCGTAGCAAAGAAAAAAAACAATGATGCTGCTTTATTTACGGTTTAGTAATCATTTCCGATCCGATTTATACTTTTGATGGTTATTTAAGCGGAAAGTAGAACAGTATTTCTAAAAATCGCGAACCAAAACGTGACCGAGGGCACGTTTTTCGTTTCGACCAATCGCTGACGCGTCTCTTGTGACGTCGCGCTCCTTGGCCCCGCATCGGTCACGTGAGCTCCGCTTCTCCTGGCTTTTCCCGCAACTCTTGGGGCGTCGCCCCGGTCGATCCCGGTACGATTGTTACCGCGACTGTTTAATTGATTTGCGCGGCACACAAGCGCCGGTTTCGGCTGAAATTTGGGCAACGTGGTCTGAGACGTACCTGGAACCCAGTTCAATCGCCAAAAAGATCTCCGAAATTGCCTTCATTGTCCCTTTAAGGTCACCCCTCAAGAAGAGGCCGAGTACACCTTGGATTGTCGGGTCCCTAATTAGGGCTTGGTTGGATGTCCCCCCGCCCCCCTTTTTAACAACTAATATATAGCACAAAGTCACCGCTGCGTCATCACTATTTCCAGCACTAACTAATCACGCTGCATTACTACAGTGGCGTAAGTGTGAACAGGTTCTAGGGACGAGTCTTGACTGTGGCTCTTTTCCCACTAGACAAGCGAGGGCGGTGAGAGTGCACTCACCCATGGCCCTGGTCCTTGGCAAACATCTCGTGCTGTGGGAACTGGCGGTGCAGGTCTTTCCGGATGTCGTCCACCCAGCGGGGGTCTCCAGGGTGTTGGTCAAGCTCCTGCAATGTCACAAGCATCCATCAGTTTGGGTCACCATCGGGGGCACATTGGCCTGGGATGGACACTACCCAAGAAGGTCAACTTTTGAACCCCTAGATTAAAATGGGTTAAATTAACGGTGCCATGACAAAGGGTGCAGAAAAAACCTTCAGCTCTGTAGATTTTAATTCTGAAGGAAATTACAATGGTTCCCACCAGGAGTATACATATATTGTTTAGCATATATCGTTAGAACCCTAATGCAATACTCAGCAGTTTTCTTTGCTAGATGCAAATCACAAAAGCCTGAAAGCGTGCCCGTGGAAAAATTTAATGGAAAAATCAAGCAACTTTTTGGTCTCCTGTGTCTTCAAACAAATGTTCAATAGTATTTTATAAAAGACACTTAGAAGGTAAAAAACAAATTCAAAAGGTGGGTGCATTTCTCATTAAACATCAGTCAGAAAAAGTTAATGAGTCTTTCCTATAGTCCTATTATGAAACAATAGATTGACAAAAATGGAATTCCTACTGAAGACATAGAATGATGAAAAATGTGTTCAAAGTGTAAAGGTATCTAACTTTTCTATAGTGCCAAAGCACTAGAAATAATTGCCAGAAAGTTAATTATGCAGCAGAAACAAATGAAACTTTGTGGGAATATTCTTCAGGCGTCTGTGGACCTAACTATAACATTCTTAAAAACCTATAATTTCTTGCACAAAAATTTTTTTTGGCCATGTTTTAAGCTTTTTTTCCTGCAATTGATTTTTTCGAAGTCAAATATGGTGTTTTTCGTGCCAAATAAACTAAAAGCATCTGGCATGCCCCAGTAGAGGCGTGAGGATTCATTTCGACCACCTGGTCAAGATCACAGTCAATTGCGCCTTCTGTGCAACTATCCTTCGTCAAAGTTTCGAGCACTTTGAGTTCCTATCAACTAGTGCTGCAATATTATTGGCTGTGGAGCAGTAACAACTTTAGTTTGATCAAAAACTTCATGCGATCAGTGTCCCCTTCAAATTCGTCCCTGAAACACTAGTTAAGAGCAAACACTTTTTTCGTCACCACAAAGTAATAATAAAAAAAAAGGTAACAGCCTTACGAAAACACGAGTATCAAGCATAAACACTTGATACTCTCCCGGGTATCAAGTGTTTACGCCCGAAAAAGAAAAGACTTTTCCTGTCTATGAAACAAATGTGGGCCTTACTTACGTACAAAAATCGCTTTTCTGCATTCTGTGCATTTTTGTATTCTTTACTCTAATATGACTTTACTGTGAAGGAATTGCTAAACAGTAAGAGAGACCACAGCTATGCAGACGTAACGGATGAATGGCCAGGACACAAACAATGCCGACAGGCGACGTCAGAGGCGGGGCTTGAAAAGGAAGTCCACGAGACGCCACAGAGCTCCCGCTAGCCCGCACAGCAGGCATCAGCCTACACTGGCCTTGGTTCTCTATAAGCTACCCAAAAGCACGGAGACTTCTAGCGGAATTCTGAAAAGTCAACTCCCATTCTTTTTTTCTCCGGCACACGTTGCTCGCATTACTTACCTTTAAGAGCCCTTATACAGATGGTACAAAGCGAGAGTAGCTCGAAGAAAGGCTTGTGCTCAGTGTGCATTTCTGCAGTACCATCACATCAATGCCCATTAACAAGAACTGAATCTTGCTTGTGTTTGATGTGCATTTGAGAATTAGAAGTTCTGAGGGAACAGAAGACACTAGGTCATTCTGCATCAAACTGCAAATGTTTCCTATGAAGAGTATGGTACCACCTGAACTAAACTAGTGCCAGTTTCACTGCACGCTGGGCATTCATCAACAAATATATTTCAAATTAAATTATATGGCCAGTGCTTCTGTCTAGAAATGGCATCCAGAGTTAAACAGTCTGCAAATGCTTCTTGCAACAGGTTATATTGACCGCAACGGCAACACTGTGTTGCCATTACAGCTATTACTAGACAAATGCAATTATTACATTTGGTAATAAGAAATGACTCGTTACGTAACGGGGTTTGTTACACGAAGACATTCTGATTTGCTGGCTTAGAAATCTTTCTGAAGTCAGAAAAAAGCATGATGAATATACGTGTCATTAAAATTACACACCAAGTTCTAATTGGCTTAATAGGAAACTGAACTAGGTGGAAGGAAAAGCTACAATAACCCGAGAAACGCACCAAGGCCCAATTCTTAAAGGGGCACTGACACGTCAAAGTCATTTCTTTTTTTTTTTATTATCCGAAACAATTGAAAACGATGCCTTGACATTACCCTCACAATTCGGAACTAGCGAATTCACTATTTGGAAAGTAAAAAACAATTTCCAAATGCTGAATTTGAAGTTCCCGTGCCATACGCGCCAGTGCAGTGACTTCAAATATTGAGCCGTTCTGCGAGTCGAGTCTCTTTCACGCCTCCGCTCTGAACCCCCGTTGCCACCGCAACCCGAAATGTAGTGTTCACCGGCATCGCACTAACAACCGTTTTTTTCCTAAGTGTAATATGGGAGGTGTAGAAAAAGGGAAGGATTCACTTGGATTCAAACAACGTACTGGCGTTTATTTGTTAGTTGGTAGCCATCTTGGAGAGTGTTCCAGTTACCAGACCAAGCCAGATTTATGGCTAGATTCCACTACAGTAGACACTACACTAAGGTCCCCTGGCTTTCTTTGTGCGTGCTGTGCCGCCTATCACTGCGAGCAGACAATGCTCAACTTTTGAGTTTCTATTTTTAGGGCCCTTTCAGCGATCTCAAATTTTTTGCAATGGTGTGAGGTCAAAGAGAATGCCCAGTGTACTTTTGTGAGCGACGTGAAAGGCCACGTCTCAACGATTCTGTGTGAGAGGCTGCCCGGCGGAGTTACAACCGAAATCATAATACACAGACACCAAACCCAGTTGTTTTGACCATTTGACGATTTCCTTTTCCAAGTCTGAGAGGTCATCGGGCACCTAAAAAAGATCACTTTGTCCGATTCCCCGACTCACCGATCATCCTCTGCTACATGCATTGAGCGCCGTCATGTTTTCTGAGGGAGGATAGAAATCCAGGAGGCAACATCACACTGGACTTTGATTTTAGGAATTTCAAAAAGAAAGGCCATAGTGCATTCACAATCGCGTTAAAAAACATGCTTTGCGAATGCCATTATTAAATGTTACAGAAATGTCGCTTACAAAGCTTCTGAATTTCATGATATTTGACATCACAAACCAAAAGCGAGGAGGTGAGGAGCAGGAGAGAAAAACGCCAAAAATAAAAAAGTGTGTGCGCATATGGGGAAATTTGTTTTTTTTTGTGGCTATGATTACAATTTGCATTGTTTCAGATGATAAAAAAAAAATATGCCCTTTGGGGTGTCAGTGCCCCTTTAAGGCAGCTTCACATATTTGCATTTCAGTGACCAAGCACATTGCGCCCGCTTGTAACTACTTACGACAGGCGAACACAGTGGCTCACTGACGCCACTCGTCGGGTTGCCCGAGAACACCTCTGACCTGCGTATGACTAGACTAGGTACTTGCGAGACAAAATCTATGCACTGTCTATGAGAAATGATCGCTTAGAACATCTGCAGTGAAAACACAGTGAAACACAACTCGTAACAAAATAGAAAATATACACGCAAATCAGGTAGATGGCATCAGTGTGCTCCCTTATCAGACGCGGTTACAAGCGGGCACAAAGCACTCAGTCACGCTTAGACGCAAAGGTGTGAACTGGCCTCCAAGTGGTAGAGGCTGTATTAGATCGATCCCGGTAACCACCCCCGCTTGCCAGCCGTGCGTCTAGGTGAGAAGAAGCAGGGTACGGACCGTGAACTTTCCCTTGTAGCTCTCCATGAGGAAGTTTCCCCCAGACAGGTACTGCCAGGCCTTGGCTCGCATAGACGAAGGAATGCCCTTGCGGCACCGATCACGCACCTGCCACAGGTATACGGAAACACTTTGGGCCCAGCATGGAACAAGACAATGTCTTAGGTTTTGCGGGCGAAGAAGTTAGCAAAGAATGTGAGGTTTTACACCAAAATCTTGCAAGACAGAAGGAGGATAACTGAGTCAATGACAGAATGTTGGGCTAGGTCATTCCATCTGGTCTATCAGAAGTTCAATTCACCGTGTGTCAGGTAAATGGAAAATGGGCACGTACGAGACAACACTGAAGGGTCCCAATTTAAAGATGGCCATGAATAGGACCGATACATGGTTACAAGCTTAAAGTGACAGTAGAAGTCCTCAGTCTGCGTAGCAGCACAGCTAACGGTGGAGCCTGAAGAATAAAGTAGGTACTTGTATAATACAAGTTTCTCCCTGGTGTTTCCCCCCACAAATTATTAAAAACATGCCAACCTTCAACATGCTTGTGTCAAAGACAAGGCGATGAAATATCTTTCTGCAAAATGTGCTTCATTTTAAGTCATCAGTAAAAGTTGATAGCATGGTAACCATTAAATTGCATGATTTCACTTTATTTCCCATTTAAAGTATTGCATCTCAATCTTAGGTGCTCATCTATGTATATGAAACACCCAATAAAATTGCTTTTTGCTCATTATTTTCTCATTCATTTTGTAAAACTACAAATCCTAAAACAAAATTTTCGAACTACGATCATTATGAAGCAAAAAAAATTAAAGTCGGAGGACCTATTCCAACTTGACGCGGAAAATAGTTTGGGTACAACCTCAAAACAGGCGCTTCAAATGTGTTCCATCTTTCACAAAGCTAACACAGACTGGCAAACGTCGGTTAGCATACCTTCTTAAAGCGCTTGGCCATGTACCGTTCCCAGTTTTCCAGCATGTCTCTCCACTTGAGTTCACGCTTCCACTGCACCTGAACTGGCACACGGCGTAACCTAAGAAACCAAACGTTAGCTTAATAATTTTGAAAATATCAATCTCTTAATCGAACTGTCGCAGGGTAGGCTTTAGAAAAGCAGTGTTATGAGGTCACAGGGAAGTACAAGTTCAAAATAAAATTTAATGCCACTGGCATTTGATCTCTGATACTATGACATCCCTAATACTTGATAACCCAAGCATCAAAGAGAATGTGTATGTTCCCAACCAATGGCGCTTTAGATGTGCATTCCTCAATGCTTTATTTTGGTTATTTACTTAAAATCTTTTATATAGGGAAGGTGAGTGTGTGCAATGCACGAATGCATGCAACCTACATTCCAAGCATTCTCATTGGTGCTTCGGTAATCTAGCAAAAGGTCTATTCGCTTCAGAAGTGTAATCTCCCCAAATGACTGAGGCAACAAACATGTGCAGACATGTTGTTATGCTCATGTATTTCCCAGCCTCAAAGGACAACTGAAATGATAATTTATAACCAAATTTTCAATTGACATCTGTATAATAACAATGAAGATGCTACTATTGATACCACTGAATTATGCAAATTCAACATAATGCAACAGAAACTAGACAACGTCAGAGGTTAACGACAGCAAGAAAATGATTCACATAGTCCTCATCAGTTCTGCCTAGTTTCTGCCAACATCTAGTTTAATCACCCTTTAGAAAAATTTGACATTCGGTATCCGAAAGTGTTATCGCACGGCAGCTTGAAGCACATGGAGCAAAAGCTCGCGCTGCAGAACCCGAGGTTCCCGGGTTCAATCCCCGCCCCTGCCTGTTTCAACCTAGACGAGCATCATAATGGCACACGACTATGCATCACTACCGCGTGATGCCAAATTTCTCATCTACGGTAAAGACACCAAACACCCCTTGGGGGGCGGACTAACCTCTCCCTGCCTAAACGTCCATGCACCACTTATTACTTCATACCCGACCTTGCATGGCAGTAAATCTTCCTAGAGACAGACAGAACCGGTTAAACTTTACACTTTCCATGGTTATTACAAGGAGCTCGTTCACCGCTCCGAGGAAGCATCCCAAGGAGTCCCACTCACATTCCCGGGTCGGTGTACTGGGAGCCTCCGAAGAAGCCGTACTTGTCCGGAGTCATCTCGGAGGGGGCCTCTGACACAAGGGAGCCGTTGCGCTCCCTGCGCTCGACCCCGCTGGCCGCTACGCTGTTCATGGTCACGTCGCTGCAAGCATCGTCAGATTCGTCCCAGAAGCGGGGCTCTTCGTCCTCCTCCACCGGGGGACCGCTGGCCATCCCGCCTCAGACACGACGCCAGGACCCTGGCCTGCATCCGAAAAGGTGGGGCCATCATCCATAAAGAAAGAGCCCGCAGCTATGGCGCCCGGAACGTGTCTTCGAGCGGTGCGTCCAATGCTCCATACACCTTTCCGGCACCCGCCGTCCGGGCAAAAAATGCCGAGTCACAGGACGCCTTCCACGGCCCAGTACACAAAGATGGTACCACGTGGGAAAGGGTTATTGGAATGGTTTATACTGCCTGTGGATTGAAAATGGCACCGAAGTGGCAATGGGTCACATCAAAAGAGCCGGCGTGTGACGTTAGTGTGCCTCGGTCAGAGAGCGATTCAAACTGCTTGATCAAAGTCATGCGGGGCCGTGTCTGCAGTATGAGCCGCGAGAAAGAGGCGAAAAAAGCGTCCATCACCTGCAAGGTCTCCAAGCCTGGCTCAGTTATCCTCCCGCTGCACAGTAACTTGCAGATATGCACGAGCAAGGCACAGCAATCGATTTGCGCAAAAAGTGTCAGCCACTAAATTCTTTTTTTTTTTCACTTGTCTACTAGTATGTTTTATTTTGTACTTTCATTTCTTCCCTATGTAATACTTAATACGGTCATTAGGGCAAATAAATAAAATGCTTTCAATGGTTTCCATTGGTCCCTCTGCTGAATTTCGGCTCTCTAATGCTGTCAGATGTCGCGATCCTGGCGGTTGATCGTAGAAGTCCGGCAAGAAAGGCGAGCAAATGTGGGAGACCCTTTTTAAAATTGTGAAATGAAGCATAGGTAATGCGAAGCAGCCATTAGTTGGTCTCATCGCTTCTAACGTGAAGCCCGTGATTGGTTTTGAGTTTGTGCCGAGCAATGGCGCAGAACTCATGTGGAATGCGTTTTGATCAGAGTACACTCCAAATGCTGACGAAGCGCGCGTGTCCAGTGCTCACAGTGCATGACCAACTAATGGCGGCCGCACATAATTTATGCATCATTTCGAAAAGGGTCTAGTAGTGTGCTGTCGTCGCAACGTTCCAAATTCTGGCTGCCAAAACTACTGAGGGCTGTCGAGCTGGAAAGCGACTTACGACTACCGCCACGGTGCCAACACCGGGACTGTGGTAGGCAATGGCGTGACGCTTTAATGACACTATTAGGTGGAAATGGAGGGACCAAAAGGCTGACAATGTAGACGAACCGGTCAGAGCTGTGCTGTAGGCACCATATCGTAGCTAAAAGCGGAGCGTGCCAGGAAAGGGCTTTGGAACGTTCCCACGGAAACACCTTTTGCGTTCGCGCATCTCTCGGCTCCAAAAAAAGAAAGAGCACCTTCAGAAAAACGGCCACACAAAAAAGGTCCAGACAATCGAGCGCGACTGCGCGTGGCTTGTCATCCGAGACTACTCTGACAGGAGCGGCGGAGCGTGCTGGTTGAACACGGTTGGAGTTGCGGATACAATGCATGCGGAACAATCGGAGAAAAAGAAGTCTCATCTGCACTTGTACGGCTTCCTTCGTGTTTAAAGTTCTGACTGCCCTTCTTTGGTGACTCAGGCTTGCACTTCGATAGTAGTTAAATTTAAGTAATGGAATTACGGTAGTTCTAGGCACTTTTTTGACTAATTTGTATTTATATCTTTTTACTTATCACTGAAAGGAACTGCAGCCTAATTACTTCTCAGCAATACTGATTGCAAAGTTTGAATTGACATTCTAAGTTTTGCTACGATTTTGTAATGCTGGAGCTCATTTTCAATGAATCCCCGAAAGAGAAATAATGCACAGGGCATCTGCATCTTTTGCCAGCACGGAAAATTGTAACACATCAGTGTTACTTGACAATTACCTTAACAAAACCTAAGTGACACATCCCCCAGAAAAAACACTTCGATATGGATGACAATTATTTAAAATAAATCTAGCACTCTGATATTGTAGTGATTCTATCTTGTATATTAATTTGTTAATAATTGAGTCTCAGGTAACCAAAAGCAAAAAGGAAGGTAGCAGAGGATTTAAGATGGCATTCGAAAATACATCCAATGGAGGGCATAAGCAGAAGCCTGCCAAGCAAATGCCAGCTGCTATTTTCAGACTTTCTAAAAGGTTTGACAAAAAGAAAAAAAGCATGCGGCTGGCTTTACTCCGACTAGAGCGACTCAATCAAGGGTCCACTACCGAATTGCAATTATCTAAAAGCTGCATGAACACTGCACTAGCAAACAAATTAGGTACAGAATTGGGTGCGATACATATTTGGAATGTGCAAGCCAAAAGATTGGTAGAGCTTTTCACTGTTCGCTCATTTTCTTTTTAATGAACTAATGCTGTTGTTATAGTGAATTCACGATGTTGTTTCTGTGACGAAATGACATAATCGTTGTTGTTATGAATTAACATTATTATTGTAGTGATGAATTCATGTTATTGTTGTGTATCTTGTCTTCTGATTTTTCTTATATCTGCTGTTCTGTGCATTTGTTTATGTTTATTTTCTTATGTCTCCTCTACTCTACTGCCCGCTGGGCAATTGTAGGTATCAAATATATAAACGAGTTTGAAAATTTTGAGGCAACACTATCAGCCAATAAAAACTTCTCACTATAAGCGAGTACAGACCTGCTGTGCACAAGATGCTAAAAGAAAAGAGAACTTCCAAATGCTAAAATCATGCAAAAAAAATACCAAAATGCTATCTCTTAAATGCAATCTTTTTTGAGACATCTATAAATTAAACAAAATTATTAAATTGCTTAGATGCCAAGAGGATATTGAACAGAGGCTTCAGCAATCTTGCTTTAAAAGAAGGTTGAATGACCTCCAAGGACGCAGCTGTTTTGACTTTTGAAGTCCTTGTGCAACAACTGCATGCAATGCTCCCAAAGCTGGCGGCAGCCTTACACAATATTACTGTTATGAAAACATGCACGGCAGTCACATCTCTAAAGCAGGAGCCGGACATGCTCCAAGAATTTCTGGGTCATGCACAAGGGCACCTTAAAGCCAAGGGATTCTATAACTTATAACACGGGGAGATGCCACGACTCATGGCACAGCAGCAACATTACTGCGAAGAAGGATCACTTTTGTTTAATAAATTTGAAAAGGTGGAACTACCGAGGATGTAAAGTGTCAGTCGTTATTAGTAGCGACATAAAACAGACTGAACATCTGACACATCAGAGAATAAATACAATATTCAGCAGCCAGTAACTGCATAAAACACTCTGCCCTCAGCCTATTTCTTCAAACCCAGTTCACACAGCTAGGCATGCATGTACTCTTTGTAAACTCAAATTAGAACTTTGCAAATTATTATGCACTGAATTTTACAAAGTCTAAAACAGAACAGATGCTCAAAATTTCACTTACATCTAAATCTAAAAACTTTTTTCACACAACCAATGATGATTATTTGCCATCAATAATTACTTCTCACCTATTCTACAAATGCTGAGCTTACTCTGTCAGCTTACAAGGTGGGGAGTCTGCTTATATCATTAACTTAACACATAAATAGAAGACAACTGTGAAGAGCAGTATCCTATCCATCCTCCTCTTTTCAGTCTTTCCTTTGTGTTTAAATTTAGCCTGTAAATTATGGACTTACGAGTGTGCCCTGTTTCTTCGGTATTTTAACCGCCTTGCTGCTGTCAAGTTAGAGAGTCATCTTCTCCATCTATGCAACAGACTACAGCGGGTCTTTAGAGCAAATAACATAAATCCAACAAGCTCTCGTGAAAGTGGGCAAAATACACCGACTTTGCCAAAACAAGTGAATGACATAAAGAAACAGCCTTACATCTTTCTCACAAGTGTAACAAACAAAATATAAACAAAGTCCCCTAGATAAATATGCCATACACTTCCTTGCAGCCTTTGCTGCACTTCACTGCTTGTGCCCAAATCAAATGTTGAGCAATCCCAGAATCTGTCGTGTTGCAAAAGACATGCACCCACCCGTTTGACCCACTACACGGTTACTGCAATGGATACTCAGTCAGGCGTGATAGCTGGTTGTTGCAGAATGCACGCAATCCCTTCTGCTGCGTAAACAATCCCAATGAGGACAGCAGCGTGGTTCCACCACGTTGGTGCTGTGAGATGTACAAGGGTTGCTTCGAAAGTAGTGCCTCACATTTATTTCTCTGGAAACTATAACAGATACAAACAATGTGGCCACACCTCTTCATAGTGATCATTGACAGCTTATGTGCAAATTGACAGCTACAGCACCCTATTTTTTTTTACACACACCCCATTGTTGGCTATGCATTTTTGCCAGCGATGAACAAGTGACTCCGTTCCGTGCCGATAAAAGACTTAATTATACACCTTTTTTCATATGCAACGAAGTAGAGAGCTCTGCTAGTTGGTCGAAGTTAAACACATCATAGGTGTAAGAGCGCATAACAATGAGGACTAAGAAAAGGAACACACAACACAGGACGAGTGCTGACTCGCAAATACTAAAGAATACACCTCTCTTGTGGCGTGGTCTATATTGAACAAAACGGTAGATGCTTAAATGACATGGCCAGGGAGCACAACTATTCCCTGAGAGCCACGGTCGGCAAGCATCTAACGGTGCACTGTGGGATTTGCAAGTGCAAGCCATCTTTCGATGAGGCCACTAGGTTAGGAAGGCACCGAGAGAAATGATTGAGGCCTTTCACATTGTAAATTATGAAGCACAATGTGTCAGTAAGCCATCGGTGGCATTATTACAAAAAAAAAGAAAGCCTTTTTTCTCTTCTTATGAATGGGGGGCAAGTGATGCATTGATAGCAGAGGCCCCATTGTGACGAGACAGTTTCGGTGGCGCATGGGTGGCGCATGCGTGGTTGAGTGTTCCTTTTATGTTTTCCTATTTTCCCTTTTAAACATTTAGTTGCAAGTCAGCGCTCGTCCTGTGTTGTGTGTTCCTCTTCTTAGTCCTTGTTGTTAGGCGCTGATACACCTACATCATGTTCGTTAATATGCACGTAAATGCCAGACACCCAATTGTTAGAGTGCCACTGTGCTGCCGTGTGTCGCATGACAACAAAATT